GCTTTTTCTTTGTCCTGTAGTAATCGCGCCGCATTGCCACCTGTGTTCANATGGACAACTTATATATTAATTGTAAAAGTGAATTATATAGACTTACTTAATTACCGCATCCACGTGTTCCGCAACTCCCGGATCATTCTCACTAGAATACGTAACTTCCATATTTTACTGTATTCAACTGACACAAATTTATATTTATATCCAGTAAACTCCAGTCGTGCGTCGGAGCGGACACACACACTTTTTTTAGAATATTTTTGTAATTTAATTTCAATGAAACACTTTACCTGGGAATTGAGAACATTCTCTTTCTTTGAAGTCGGATAATAAACAACGGTAATATCTTGATGAAATCAGTGCAAATCGATCATGACGGAATGAAGTTAGATTACACTTCTTCTAGAACTACATCGGGGTCAATCATTCGAGCGGGAAGGCTGTAAAAGGCTCGACTGGATTTTTATCGAGCACCGTTAACACGCAATCGTGACGTCACTTCGAGACTCGGTACGGGAGCTTACGGAATTACCGGGATTCCTCTAACGGGACCAGAGGTGTATTGGATTCTTGACACAAACTTAAAGGAATTCGCAAAATAACTCACGCACTATGAACGAATTCATATATAAGCTGCAGATTTGTAAGATAAAAATGGTTATTATCCGTAAAAAAAAAGAAACTGGTATCACCTGTTTTTATATTCAGTGATTATTTTTTAAGATTATGAAGAAAAGAAAAAAACAATGGCCTTTTAAAATTGAAATAAAATGAAGAAATATATTGCATATGTGTTGTATACATAGGATATTTATCTTGCATGCAGAACGTAACGAGCTGTGATTGTATGATTGGTCAGTTAGGTACTAATTTATTAACGGATGTATTTTGTCCGTGTTTAAATAACTTTTAAAATTTTTATTAAGTTTTTGTTAATATATTCCATTGAATACTGTATAAGCTGTATATTTATATATGTATATACATATATGTATGACTTACTGACGGACTTCAGTACTGAAGAAAAATCCTATTTAAAAACTAAAGAGTTTTTCTTTACATGTATTACTATATAAATTTACACTGATGTATAGTATGCATAATATTGTTACGTCAGTAAGAGTAACGTCATCTATCGCCGAATGTTCAAACGAATATCGAAGGATCTAGTAGCATTTAGAATGCTCGAGAAGTACAACGCCATCTATTATCAAAGAGCGGAAACACACAATACTCGACTTTTGTGGAATATTCTCGACGATTCTAGGGATATTTATATTTTAATGCACCTACCATTATTAACTCTGCACCACATTTGATTGACTGGTAGAGAATGCAGGTAATGTCATATCGAGCATTTGGAAGTCGCGTTTCTTGTTAATACTGCTCAGAAACAGTTAAAAGATTGTATAATATTTCTGGCATTAAAAAAATATATGAATTCTCTGAGGGATGAAAAACTAATTTAAATTTTTGACCTAACTAAAATATTACTTCGATAAGAATAGTTGCTTTTTTAAAGGCAGGCGAAACTACATCACTAATTTCCAAGTACATGGAGACAGACCTTCTTAATTCGTTCTGCGGTTTGGCTGCTGAACTGTGATATCCGAAGACAATCATTTCTAAGAAGAACCAGCGAGTTCGTCTCGCTTAAAAATAAAAAAAAGATGTGTGGTGTCGTGGGACACCGGATAGGAACGAAGCTCCTTATTATAAAAATATTAATTTTAAGTTCTATTCGAGGCATTAAGAAAATAATTATACGGGGTATACATTTTTTAATATGATTTTTTTATTGATAAAAATAAAATAAAAACTACTTTACAAAGTTATCAACTTTATTTTATTCACAATGATTTATAAAAAATATATAATAATAATATACAAAGAAACAGCTATTTATATGAATAACCGTCAGTAGACTATACATTAGACACTGTATAGCTATCATACTAAGACTATACATAAATAATAAAAATCTTACGTTACGGACGTTTTTCCCGGTTAGGGTACCCCTCCGCATCGTCCCATAAGGAATTTCGTTCCAATAATATTATACTAAAGCAACAAAATTAAACTTATACCCTGAATAACATACCGCACAAAGCCATTACTGCATATAAGCACTAACTTATGTATTCGTTGCTACATTAGTTTATTTATGGTTTTTATCTGCCACATTGTTAATGAGATAGCGATTTCAACAGGAAAACGTCGAACGATATTATGTTTCTATTATACAATGTAAATTGGGTCAATTAATAAATATTGCGAAAGGGTAAACGATTATATTTTGCTGTGGAATGAAGCGGTAACGTTGTATAATAAAGTTTAAATTCATAATTTAAGTTTGCGGTGGCTGTCGCAAGATCTTTCTTAACTTCCTTACGGAGTAGCAGTCATGTGATCTGATTTGCCCCGTCATCGTTCTCGTCGAACCCGTCGCTTGCGACGAAGGGCTCGACGAGTAAATTAACCCTCAGACACAGTCCACTGAGTTTCTCGCAGGATCTTCTCAGTGGGTCGCGTTTCCGATCCGGTGGTAGATTCTGCGAAGCACGGCTCTTGCTAGGGTTCGTGTTAGCAACGTCGTCAGGTTTGAGCCCCGTGAGCGCACCTACTAGTTATGGCGACTCTGATATAGCCTCTCAAGGCTATCAGTTTAGGTAGGAAAAAAAACTGATTTGAAAACGCTACAGCCTCCAAACCTTTTGTTTTAAAACGGGTGGCGGCGACATTATCAATGCCTACAGGCATCGGAAACCATTTAAAATTAATTCGACTGCTAAAGTAATGCATTCATGTAATAGAAACATTATTTTTATGTTATATCCTTCAAGTACGATGTTCCTTGAAGTAAACACGACCGCGTCCACTTTTGTTCGCGACTATCCGATAGTTCTTGTAAAGGCTCCTCTGTGAAGGATACTGGATTTATTTTAAAGACGACTTGACTGGTTCGTACAAGGAGTTATTATTATCACGATGACACAACCGTTTTGACTCACAGGCGATTGCGTTCGTCCTCTGCATGCTTTTGAATTTATTTCAGTCGATTTTAAATTCGACATGTTTTTTATTATTATTATTCGTAACCTACAAACTCGGTGGCTCTGACAATTAGTGCAGTTTAGTTTTTATTATAATGGTCGCGAAATTAAGACGCAAATTATTAAGTCGTTGTGTCTATGATATATGGTAGGTATTTTCCAAAATTACATCGTGAAATCGCATTAAATATAAAATAAAAAAAACAAAATTCCTTTTTTTTCGTTAGACTCTTTGTTGTGGACGAAAATTGCAAATGTTGCTCCTTTTCAATTTTTTATGTTTTGATCGAGCTTCCGTGTAGTTGTCGGTGGGAAATTCATTAAGGGTCGCTCAAAAATTGAGGGAGTGATAAAAGAACGTTGTCAGCGCAATGAACGTCGACTTCTGACTTGTTTTTGGGTAATGGTCTACCACTGACCCGCATTACTATGGTTCCTGTAACTAGGTTCAAAGCCGCGACGAGAGGAATAGTTCTGAACGATACGTTTTATATTACACAGGGGAAGCAAAGCGAATTTAATAATAATAAAAAAAGTGACGTAGGAATTAAATATTCTAATTTTCCACCACGCGCAGAGACAGTGAGGGTTGAAATTTCCTTTAGTCAGTAAATAAGAACAGATGCAGTTCAGAAAAGCCCAACAAATGCGTGCTTTGGGATATTTAAGAACACCCTATTTTTTTAAGGGATTTTATGACCTGGTTACTAAGTAAGACCTTTAAGTCATGTCTTACTTTAATTTATATATTCTTATTTTTATGAAAAATGAGTGAAATGAAATGAGATGAAATGAAGATGATTAATTTGAGACATTAATCAACTGGGATGAAATTAAATTAAATGAGATTAGATGATATGGGGTGAAATGTAATCTCACTAAAATGGTGGTCATTTACTGAGATTTTTTCAGTGGACTTTTTGGAGGATCCCGAGAAGTTCGTCCAACGGCTTTGTTTCGTTTTCCCACATTTGTGCACTTTCACAGATATTAAACAGTTAATAAATCACCGTTATTATACATTTAAACCTGAAGAAACACTAAATAGACATAATAAAACAAATCACACAACTTTACTCCTCGCGTTCCCGCCAATAAGTCCCTTAAGAACACCTATGTAGTGATATTTACATAGTTTAACCATTTCAGTTTTTTTTAATTGAAAATGTTATTTATTTATTTAGCATACAGTACTAGTTGGGAAAATTCTTTATTTGCTGATGAAATCGCCAGATAGACTTGCCAAGCCCATTTAACTTTTAATGTTACTGCTTGTAATGTCGTATTTCGTGTTCAATACATTCTACCTTCCCTTCCGAGAGCAAAATAATCGGAAGTGGTAAAATTTATATAGTTGTGTAGTAACAATATTCAGTTTAAATTAGGTTACCCATGGTTTGTTATCGCCAAAAGCTAATTACAATGCCGCATTATCAGTTTGAACTTTAGTCTTTGTTGTTTTTTAAATAGCCGTAAAACATTTGGTAACGGTTGATAATGTGCCAAATAAAATAATCGTCGATTAATATTTAGGACAAAACCATTTTAAATTTCTAATAATTATTTATTAAATTAATATTTTGTCAGGTAAATACAAAGGACTTTTGTTTTTTTCGCAAAATACTAAGGGTATAGATATAGAAGCATTTATATGAAAGTTTCGACGAGAACTTGGGATTTTTCATGTAACATTTTTGGCTTTAAAGGATTACCGTTATAAACTTGATACTAAAATTGGGCAATTAAGCTAATTTAATTTTGTCAACGCTTCACATAATGAAATAATGTAACAGCAACTATACCCAATCAAGATTGGGACAACAATAACAACGTCTTGTTTTCACTGTTTCTAAGGCTCTCACCGAAGTTTCTAGATCATTTTAAATCGACGCTTTTGAAGTTGTTTTCGAGAGAGTTTTAACATTTACTTTTTTTTTTTTTTAAATCTAGAAGCAACAGAAGAATTAATCGCAGCTGCTTCGTCGGCCCGTGACAGAGGAGAAGTCGCGATACTGGTGCGTGGACCGCACGGGAAGAGTGCAAGACGCGAGGAGTTACTACACGCTAAGAGCGAAGATGATGTATCCATATCGTTGTATTACAACAGGAAAACAAACAAAGGTATTTAAGAAGCAACAAAAGTAGGCAAAGGCTTGGCTCTGCCCTTGGCATTGCTGACGTCCATGGGCGACGGTAACCACTCACCATCAGGTGGCCGTATGCTCGTCTCGTCTGCCTACACAGGCAATAAAAAAGGAGCTCTCATCGTATTTCGTATTAATTATTGGTCGATTTAAAAATAGGATTCTGTTTTTTTTTTACCTAACATGAAACACCAAGTTATTGTGTACCTACCTGATATGAAGTGGTCAAAGGAGTTAATAGATGGAATAACTTGAATGCCTGTCTTAGAGTCAAAACATCCAAATCTCATATATATTGTTTTTCCCCCTACCCAATCGTTGGTAGCCTAAGGGTATATCCCAACTTGATTCAGCGTGAGAGAATTGTTAACACTGGCCCTAGCAAGAGTTGTGCTTTGCTGATTCTACTACCAGATTGGAATCGCAACCCACTGAGACGATCTGGCGAGAAACTCAATGGGTGCGAGAAACTCAGTGGCTTATATTGTTATAGTAGCTGTTGTACTACTCAAACGCTAACAAATAACCGAGGTATAAAGTGGGTGGAACGTCTGAGTTTACCGTTTAGGTGTCCAATCAGTATATTTATTTAAATAAATAAAAAAAATGTCGTAGTATCCTTGGAGAGTCTACACGGAGGCCATCTAAAATCTGTTTCGTGGGGTCTCAAAGATCATGAAAAAGGAACACTTTTGTTGGTGGCTTCGTCAAACGGCGTCAGACTATACGCTGGTTGCGTTCCACTACATTGGCATTCGATGTCCGGGACTTACGACCTTCTGGATATACTGAGAGACCAGAAGACGAAATTGGTATGTACCTACATATTTCATCATAGTCAGAGTGATTTTTGTGTGCCATTTATCACATTTTAGAATAGCAAGTAATGTATTTATAAAAATTAATTGTATAAGGGCAAGATGTTAATTTTTTATATTTACACAATTCTACAAGTTAAAACCATAGACGAATCTGAAAATGAGCGTTTGAATAAAAAAGTAACATTGAATATTTATTTTAAATTTTCGCTGTGAGGTCGGCCTTGAAAGTCCATCTCTTTCTGTTCTTTTTGTGAATAGAGACTAAAGGGATCTCGTGAGAGTAGCCAGACGTGTTCTAGTATCTGATGTCTGGGCATTTTATTAGCATATTCCGATCATCGACCAACAATTTTTGGGGTAGAGACTATTGTCAGCCCGCACTTGTACATATCACCACTTCCTGCCTATTGCTGCCGTAAAGCAAACACACGTTTCGACTTGATGACTGAAACAGCCGTGATACGATACAACTTAGATTTTGTCTTCACGTAACAAGTTATTCACGTATCTGTGGTCTCCGATAATTCTAAGCAGGCTCATGAGCTGTTAGGATGGCCGTTGGGGCCAAAACCCCCAGCGTGGTTAGGCCTTCAACAAGGTGATCGAAGAATTTTTGAAGACTGTGGGAATAAGCTGGATGCAGGCAGTGTAGGAGCATTCGTTCTGGCGAAGTTTGGGAAAGGTCCGACGTCCAGCGGTTTGTGGGCTGTTATAAAGAGAGAGAGAGAGAGAGAGATCATGAGCTCACCTAAACGTACTTTTTAGTTTTTCTTGCCGTGAAAGCCAGATTCGACATCTGCTGCTGAGTGATTAATAAGGGCAAAGCAAAGCTGCTGCTCACCACTTTGGACCTTATGACTCGTTTGTAGGAAGACATGTCATATAACTTTTATGTCAGGCTTTCGCTTCTATAGTACAGGGAACCCTAGTTTGTGGCCAGAGTACCATGTGGAATATGTTTCCAGTTATTATTATTAAAATTAATAGCGTTTTAGTATAAACGTCAGTTTGACATATCAATACACCTTTATTACCAGTATCACGAAGAAAACGCTCCAGTCGAAATATACGGCAGCGAAAAAGCAGCAGTTGAATCTTTGAGTTGTGCAAAAGACAACATCAGACCTCCAACTCTACTGAGACTGGACGAACCTGAATCGGACGTAGAAGAAGTCCAAGAATTCAGAAAGAAGGAAGCTCTCATGGACAAAGAGGAAGAAATGCAAGATGATGCTACCAATTATTTGGAAGCTAACGGTATTCTGCCGCAACCTTCAAGAGGAGATATACCTCAGTCTGCCATTGAATCGTGTGATGGTGAGCATAATTTTCATGACTAAGCAAGAGGAGAACTTTTTGAATTCGGCTAGACCCTCTGTTAAAGCTACCTATCGGTTTGAAGACATGTGGAACTCGATGTAAATAGAAATCAAAGTCTTAACTATGTTGAAAAGCTATTTGCTCCTCCAGATTCAAAGGCGTGGATGCTTGAGAGCACACATAAGAGTGGTTGCATTAACCAAATCCATTCGGTGGCTTTATGGGTGGGTTCCTTAGCTATCTGCCTCGGCGAAAATTCAGCTAGTTACTTTCCATTCCAGATGAAGTCATCCGTCAACTGACCCTACTGCGTCAGATCATCGAGCACTTGCGCCGGGAGGTCGGGGATCAGAAGCACACAATAGACAGCCTAAGGTCTCAACTCCACCAGTGCTGCAACAGAGTACCCGTCACCCCACCCCCTGTGGAGAGATGCTCCGGATCCTCATGCTACCCTGGTTATTAATTACATAAAGCCATCCTGGATATGAAGTATCGTGTCATCGTCATTATAATTATGTCTCTATCATTGTCTCAAACAGTAAGGGTATTGCAAGTTCCAAAATTCCTTTCTTTTTTTATATTTAGATTTGCATTAGCTTTTAGTAAAGCAATTGTTTTTTTTAAATATTAAACATTTCTTTTTTTTATATTAAAAGCATACCTTGAACAAAATCTTCACCATCGATGTTACATCAAGATTTTTATTTGAAGTAATTTGAACGTTATATTATGACGACGTACGTATGTAACTGTATTCGTGTATTTAAATAGTTCCGAAGCCAAAACGATAATAACTCTAATCAATATCATCTAGTACGTCAACTATAAATATTTGTTGCTTCAGAAAGTTTTTGTTCGTGAGCCCGCAATCTAAAGCAGCCAGCCCCGCGTTTCCTTGAGGCCGTTGACCTCGTGCGTTAGTTGAGTTCGCCTTGCATTGCGTGCTGCGTAAAAAAACATTACTAAAATACAAATCATCAATCCCAGATTCTGTAGTCAAAAATCAGTAGCTTTCTTGCATTCCCATTAAAATTATTTGCACTATTTCATCAGGTCGCAATTATCTGTTAATATATAAAACAACTTACATAGATATATATAAGGTAAATCAAGCAACATATTGTGTGGGTAATTCATTAAAATTTATTCTAATATAAACACTGCGTTTTATTTCACTGCAATTGTAATAGCTTCATAATGAATACAGGACCGCGGAGTTCTCAATTTCGCCCACATTATTGTATTAACGAATAAATGAAAGACAAGTTGCTTGATTAACCTTATTCGTGTCACGAATTGAACGCACAGTGAACGGTCAAGGATATTTTTTAACTGTGTGGGTAGACAGAGAACTCTGTGGGCTCTTTTTGTATTAAACGTAATTCTATAGTACTATTGATATTCTCGACAAAGGAACAGTTATCTGTCTGATAATAAATAGTACTTGATGGATATTGTAACATCAGCCACAGCCTGTCGGTCAGGATTCTTCAAATCTCGTCAAGGCAAGGCACGTCAAATGATGACGTCATTATTTTGAATAGTCAGTCTGTCTTGGTCGACAAGCTATGGATGAAAAGCTGTCAGTTAGACCTTGAAAAGATGGATGTAATAAGGAATTAATTAGTATATGTTTGAAGTAGAGTGAGGAAATTTGACAGGTCGTCAATGAGCTCTAAGAGTCGAGTAAGAAAGAGATGGACATATAACATGTCCCCGGTATGAGAATGTAATGAATTGCCAATAGACTGGTAACCAAAACATATTACATGTGATGTATGAATAAAAAAATAAAACTAGAATTTTTCTAGAGGATTCTAGGTCTATTCTCAAATTCTGGGAATCGTATCTCGAATGAGGCGATATGTCTTTGGATTCCCGGGGCCATTGTAATTTCCAGGATTCAAGATCAAGTCCTCATCTCTGTAGCTTGGCGCAAACGAGTAACAATTTGAAATTGTTAATTCGTATTATAATTGAGCCTCTGTCTCCAACCATGTCAACCATTCTCTAATAAGAATCAGAACAAAAGATTGCAAGGCAAAGCTATGTGTGGTAGGATGCTCTCTGAGCTCACATGACTGTGGCAGTTTTTGCTACGAAGCATGCGTTAGGAGGTTAGGGCAGCCCTTAGACAGTAAGATAGTCCTTCAGACCTCATGTGGCAATGTGGGCGGATAGTTGTAAATGAAAAAAAAAGCTAAATATAGCTTATTAGGAGCTTTGCGGTAAGTATTCACTCGTAGTAGCGTGGAGTGATTAGGTACGTGCCACATAAATAATCATACATTTCACTCGCCCCCCCGGAGTGGGAACCTCGAAGGAGGTACGCCCCCCTATAAAAAGAACAATAGATGCGTTAACATAAAAAGCGCTCTAGTTTTCATCGTTCCAAATAAATAAAGCATGAAAATTAAGGCCACTGAGTTTCTCGCCGGATCTTCTCAGTGGGTCGCGTTTCCGATCCGGTGGTAGATTCCGCGAAGCACGGCTCTTGCTAGGGTCAGTGTTAACATCACTCCGGTTTGAGCCCCGTGAGCTACCTACACGTTAGGGCGAAGCTGAAATAGCCTCTCAAGGCTATCAGCATAGGTAGGAAAAAAAATATCAATTTTTATTTATTTTTTATTTATTGCTAGATGGGTGGACGAGCTCACAGCCCACCTGGTGTTAAGTGGTTACTGGAGCCCATAGACATCTACGACGTAAATGCGCCACCCACCTTGAGATATAAGTTCTAAGGTCTCAAGTATAGTTACAACGGCTGCCCCACCCTTCAAACCGAAACGCATTACTGCTTCACGGCAGAAATAGGCAGGGTGGTGGTACCTACCCGCGCGGACTCACAAGANCACCTGGTGTTAAGTGGTTACTGGAGCCCATAGACATCTACGACGTAAATGCGCCACCCACCTTGAGATATAAGTTCTAAGGTCTCAAGTATAGTTACAACGGCTGCCCCACCCTTCAAACCGAAACGCATTACTGCTTCACGGCAGAAATAGGCAGGGTGGTGGTACCTACCCGCGCGGACTCACAAGAGGTCCTACCAGTAAAAATTATACCAGTATGCGAAATTATAAACTGGGAAATTAAGTTTTTAATTTTCAATCTCATTTCGGTTCCAATGATGAGCGGTACGGTACTGTAACAGGGGTCGAATGCCGGAACACTGTCGCGGGGTTCGAGTGCGGGTCGTGTCCGCGGGGCATGGAGGGCGACGGCCGGCGGTGCAGACCCGTACTGTGTAACAGACGCCCATGCTCACAAGGTATCTAAAGACTAATACCACTAATAACACTAAAACTACACTAATACCACAGATTTTAATAGGTAGTCCACCACCAAACCCAAAAAAATCCCAATCAATTAAAATAAACTTAAAGATTTGAAAATAGCTTATAAAATCTAGAAATATAGTCTTTTTTTCTCGTCAGGATAACCAATCACAGCACGATGTCACATTATGTGGGTAATCGTGATTTTTCTCTAGCATATCGTAAGTTTGACCCCAAATGACGTCACACCTAATGAATTTGCGTTCAGACGAGTTTTTTTAAATAGCGCACGAATTTCGATGGAGCAGAACTCGCCGGTTCTGAAGTCGGTCATTCAGTTCATAATTTGTGTAAATGAAAATGTAGAATTGACGATTTAAAGTTCTTTAGGGACCTCAAACAACCATCTACCAAATCTTAGTAAGGATCCCTTAGCGTTTTGCACTTATGACCACGTTACGTTTCTCTTTGTTCATAAAGACATTTCGAAGCATCATTGTCGAATTGTCAACCTAAAGTAGTCAAAACTTTTGCTGATACTAGCTTTTGCCCGCGACTCCGTCCGCATAGAATATTTACTTTGGCATAACGCTAAATTTTACTCCCCCACTTCATTTACGTAGAAAGTGAAAATATTTTTGAATTGTAGAATGATAAGGAGCTATTTAAACTCTTATTTTGAAACATTCTTTATGGGTGCTCCACTTGTATTAGTCTTACCGTTATGTTATATAGCCTATAGCCTCCCTCAATAAATGGGCTATCTAACATTTAAAGAATTTTTTAAATCGTACCAGTAGTTCCTGAGATTAGTGCGTTCAAACAACAAACGAACTCTTCAGCTTTATAATATTAGCTGATATTGGCATACTCTTTATCATTAAAGGGTAATCTAAAGGCTAATCACGGGTTCCCTTCACCTTACGTGCATGCAGGAAGCATGGTTGATGCCGGGTCTATGGTGACCCCTTTTAAATTATGTGTAGGGGAGAGGTGCGTCGATACGGACCAAGGTTTCCGGTGCGAGAGATGCCCAGGGTCACAGACGAGTGATGGCCAGACCTGCAGGACTGCGTGCAGCGCTAACCCTTGCTTTGGGGGACGTAAGTTGAACTATACATTTGTCAACATCTTAAATACAAAGTGCCATCATATATTTTCTTTGAAATCTATACTTTTGTATTTTAAGATTAATCCAACAAATATAATATAAAAGTGCACATCGCTGGAACAAAAGGGCTTAAAAGATATGTGACGAATGAGGTTTGATTGAGACGTTGGGTCTCGACAAAATCCTGTCACATTTTCTAATGACAATACGTTTTTATTACCTCATTCTCTTATATGTTATTGGAGCAGGATTTTTTCAATCACTTTGAACAAAATTCTTAAGAGACCTCAAGAAACATAGTTCAAAATCGGTCGATCGTTTTTGTGGGTAATGGTGTGAGAATTATGCGACTTTTATATGTAGAGACTATAAATTGTAGACGAGGAGGCATTCGTGCTGTATTATGCCATATCGATAAGTATGTGGCTAAAGTTTTGAAAAAATAGCGAATTTGTGCCTAGAATATATTTTGTTTGATTTAGGAGTACCGTGCCAGGACTTACCAGACGGCAGATACCAATGCGGCAAGTGCCCTTCTGGGTTCCACGGGAATGGAGTCGAGTGCTATAGGATATCCTGCAGAGCAAACACGTGCTTTCAAGGTATCATCACTTATGCAACTTTAGTGTCACTGATTATAATATCCGAATTTTTCCAATCTGTACAATGACCTTACTATCTAATTGATACTAAAAATACCCATTTTTCGCTAAAAACCTATGCTCTGGGTCACAGCTAGAAAATCTCATGTCTCCAAGCTGATCTGCTGGTCGCCCACCCGTCCTAATGAAACTGCAAAGGACCTCTGGGTAACCAGCAATCCCATGATTCCAAAAATGCGCTTCCTGTATTTTAGGTGTGAGCTGCGAGGAGACCCAATATGGTCCTAAATGCGGGTCCTGTCCCACTGGGTACGTGGGAGACGGTCGGCAGTGCCAGCACGTGTGTGACGCTCAGAAGCCCTGCGGTAGAGAGCGACGCTGTATGCCCAAGAGCACCAGCCCTTATTACGAGTGTGAAGGATGTCCCAGCGGCTACCAGTGGAATGGTGAAGACTTATTACGCACATAAACCTTTCATATTGATCACTGGCACAAACCTATCGTCATCACGCATTAAAACTGTATAATCTCAAAACTTACTGACTTTACAGGAGAGTGTTTTTATGGTTTAACATTGTGATATTTTTAATATTAATCATCTTTGCAAAATTTTATTTTTTATTTTTTACCCCTCTACATTAAGTAAGATATTATTATGTATTAATTTTGTTAATAGTAGTCAAACCCTCTTTTGATTTTGGTATTTATAAGAAAAATACTGGTGATACCAAATGATTTCGCATATTAACTCATCATATCAATTTTCGTGCCCAGGTTAAGTGTCACAATCAGCTGTTTCTTTCGCCAAGCAGTTACCCTTTCCTGTTTGAACGATGAGGGAAATATTTAAAGATGGGTTTAATTCAAGGGTACACGTGCGTGGATATGGACGAATGCGATTTGATTCGGCCCTGTGATGATCTGGTCTCGTGTCGCAACGAAGAAGGCGGCTTCACCTGTGGGCCCTGTCCTCCAGGGTTCACAGGTAGCCAGGGCTGGCGAGGCACTGGCAATGAGAGACGAAGGGAACATTGCGTGGATGTGGACGAGTGCGCTGACGGACGAGCCAACTGTCCAAGGGGACGGCTTTGCGTCAATACCCCGGTGAGTTTCGACCAGGATTTACAGGGTTCTGACCAAAGATTAACAGGCGAACCAGGCCCGCGTAAGCTCTTCGGATGTATACTCCAATGGGAATAGCTTTAGCTTCAAAATATTGTACAATTCGACGATAGTTACTAAGCCGGTAGGCAAAGCTTGGCATGCCCTTGTCATTGCTGACGTCCATGAGCGAAGGTAACCACTCACCTTCAGCCGTATACTCGTTTGCTTATAGGGCAATAAAAAAAACCGTGTCCTTAACAGGCACGATCTGTATAGATGGAGTGGTTCTACACAGTTGCTCATGGACATTAATAGTGCTAGGGATACAGCCAAGTCGCGATTTGTTGCTGCAGCTCTTGATCACACCACTTGTTATTGTTACACTGCCGAAGAAATTTCTTGGAGGGAAGCTAATCAATTTACCACGACAGAAGAATTTAGGTCCTTTCAAGTTGCCTCGCAGGGGACTTAACAATATGGATTAAGAGTTTTAGACCTAGATCCGCACTTTTATCAAAATATATGAAGCAATATCCCTCGAATCCTGTCTCCTCGCTTCAGGGCTCATACATCTGCGTACCCTGCGGCGGCCACTACTACGTGAACACGACGAGGCCGTGCTTCGACCCCGACTCGCTGGTGAAGCGATGCGACCCCAGCTACTGCAGACGATTCAACGCCGTCTGTGGTTTCGGCCAAAAGTGCGTTTGTAATGTAAGTACCGGTACTTAATTACTTTGTGTACGGGAGGTATAACATAGATATAACGACGAAGGGAAGATCTTCCATCTAGCGGGTGTAATTGCTCGGTAGACCGTTGGTCCGAATGTTTTTTTCCTACCTATGCTAATAGCATTGAGAGGCTATTTCAGCTTCGCCCTAATGTGTAGGTGGTAACACTGGCCCTAGCAAGAGTAGAGCTTCGCAGAATCTACCACCGGATCGGAAACGCGACCCACTGAGAAGATCCGGCGAGAAACTCAGTGAGCTGTGTCTGTGGGTTAATTCGCTCGTCGAGCTCTTCGTCGCAAGCGACGGGTTCGACAAGGACGGTGATCGGTGCTTGTGGTACCTAAAAGCACCGTTAATGGACCGGGAGGATTCGTAATGACGTGTTTTGAGCGACGTTAACTGTTTACCATTCGGTCTACAGGATCGGGTATGACGTAATGTTGTTGTTTCGAATTTGTATATATGCAAACTTATCTTGAAAATGTCTTAAGCGAAATTCAGGCATATGTCAAATGTGTTGTGTTGTTTGATAACTACCGCCAAAACTTATTAATAGCTGAAATTGGCTAGCGAGCTTACGACCCAACTGCCCCATCTTCAAACCGGAACGTATTACTGTTTCCTTCGCTTCCTTGCAGAAATAGTCAGGATTGTACTTATCCGTTCAGGCTCTCAAGAGGTTACCAATCAAATCATGTTGTCATGGAGAATACGATTGAAATATTTATTGTTGATAGGGCGTATTGTATCTCCACTGTCTTTCCAATTTCTGCGATAGGGAAGTTTCAGAGCTTCAAATATCCAATAAAGGAAGTTGCAGTCATGGCCAACTATACGCTGCATATTGTATGGTCTATTTGAGAAGCAATCTATGAAATGTGACGGTGATTAATTCCCCTCTTAATTCGTAGACCGGTTGGACTGGCAACGGTACAGTGTGCGGACTGGACCGAGATCTAGACGGGCATCCGGACGAGCAGCTGCCTTGTAATGAGCCTCGCTGCAAGAAGGACAACTGCCCCGACGTCTCCAACTCCGGGCAAGAGGACGTGGACGGTGACGGCATCGGGGACTCGTGCGATTCTGATGCAGACGGAGACGGGATTCCCAATTTTCCTGTAAGTAGACCTTGATATTGGACCACTAATACTGTCTCCATGATCTAGTGGCTAATAAATTTGATCACAGTACTAAGGGTCCAAGCTATATACCATGCAAGCATTCTTACATTCCACTTCAATGCCTTATTGCCTATGCACCTGTGCATCACATTTTTTGTTTAAACAGTGTAGTTACCATCCATAGACAACATAAAGCTACACTCTTTGAGATGTTCTAATTTGGTATCACTGACATAAGCACCTAATCACAATACGACCACCGGTACTGATATACCACTGTGTCCAGGACAACTGCCCGTTGACCCCCAACCCGGACCAGTTGGACGACGACGAGAACAAATCGGACGAGAGAGGAAACGCCTGTGACAACTGTCCCCGGCACTACAACCCTCGCCAGGAGGACACCGACGGAGACGGAACGGGAGACGTCTGTGATTCGGACATGGACGATGACGGTAACTTTACTTCTTCGACAATCACCGTTGTACTTAAATTAGTACTTTTAATAATAAGATCGGCGAGTTTTGTTTTTGCCATTGTAGGCGGACGAGCATATGGTGGTGGCACCTGATAGTGAGTGGTTACCGTCGCCCATGGACTATCAGCGTCAGAGCGGTCATGATTATCCCTACCACGGTAACCCCTTATTCCGTCCCCGATTACGCCTGGGTGAAAGTGCTGGGGAGTCGGTCATGATTATAAACACATTGCAATAATTTATACTTAAAAAAAATAGTAACCATAGAGTGATTAGGATCCTTTTTAAATCCATGGAACTTTTATTTTGCTGCACCGGTTTGTATCTATCTTAAGTAGAAGATAATTCTTCCAAGAAGAAGACGCCAAAGCAGAGTTCCCATTTTTTCGGGCTGCGGGCCGAGCCTCCTACGAGGTACCCGCGTATAGGGGTCACGCGGGGTGTGTGGGTCTTAACGGTCTGAAGATGTTGGGAGTAGACCGTGGGTCCAAGGATATTTTTAGGGTCCTACCACACTAAGCGACTCTACTTTGCACTCTCACAGCCGATGTCCAATCTCTGCTCGGGGTCAGAACCCGGTCAGAGTAAGGAGGTTTCCGCGATCAAAGCTCCCAAATATTAAGTCTCCAATTAAAAACCCGCACATGTCTAATGATCCATCTCTCCAACATCTACGTCCCAGACATACCGAACCAAGTGGACAACTGCCCCAGGAAGTACAATCCGCAGCAAGACGACATGGACTCGGACGGCGTCGGCGACGTCTGCGACAACTGCCCCCGCGTCCGCAACACGAACCAAGAGGACACGGACAAGGACAACGTCGGCGACGCGTGCGACAGCGATATAGACCGTGACCAGTGAGTTATAAAGATGAAAATCGTATGGCTAGAGAAAAATTATCAAGTCATAATGTGTGTTTAGATTTTCCTAGTGCCATTTTTAAGGGGGGTGTTTGTGAAATAATCTTGGTCGATTTCTCTTGGATTTTTTGGCGGGAACGCGAGGAGTGAAGTTGTGTGATTTGTTTTATTTTGTCTATTTAGTGTTTCTTCGGGTTTAAATGTGTAATAACGGTGGTTTATTAACTGTTTAATATCTGTGAAAGTGTACAAATGTGGGAAAATGAAACATAGCCCCTGGACGTAACTTCTCGGGATCCTCCAAAAAGTCCACTGAAAAAATCTTAGTAAATGACCACCATTTTACTAAGATTATATTTCATTCCATATCATCTCATTTCATTTAATTTCATCCCAGTTGATTAATGTCTCAAATTAACCATATTCATTTCATTTCAATCCATATTATCATTTTTCAGAAAAATAAGAATATAAATTAAAATAAGACATGACTTAAAGGTCTTAGTCACCAGGTCATAAAATCACATAAAAAATCGATTTCTCTTAACTCGATCACCCTATTCGCCCCTATGATGTTTGACGATGGTTTTAATAATGCGGTTTCTCCGACGTATACATTTAAGCAAATATATATATCAGTCTGTGGTACCCATAGCACTGAGTATCCTAATGTGGGGCCGGATTACCGTGCGTAATCTGTTTCCGGTTCCCAGTTAATAAATAAACCACATTAAGTTTCATTGTAATCTTTACTTTGGATAACCCTTCACTATTGCGTCATTATCGTCGCTTTTCAACTGGACGTCCATATTACTGAATTCCTTACGCTCTAAGCCAGCCTTTCCCAAAGTGGGTGATAACGCCCCTTTGAGGGCGCTGCAGGCCAAAGAGGGGCGGTAAGAGACCCGAAAAAAAGGGAGCGTTGCGTAGAGGCTTGGGAGGCGATTTGTAATTTCATCTAGGAGAACTATTAGACACCGATTGAGCTCTCGCTATAGTTGTTTTTAAGTAGATGTAAAAACGGGGACGCTAAATAGTAATTTAATCTCAAAGTAGGCAGTAGACAAAATGAGTTTGGGAGCCTCTGTTCTAGACTGTAGAACGCAATCGAACCTTCATCCTCCAAATTATCTTTTAAAGCCCTCACATTACCATTCCCTTTACCCCCGCTTGGAGGAGCTGCTTGATTATCTACAGCCGTTTTTGCGGTCCTACCAGTTACCGTGCTAAAGACCTCGCTGTTTCCAGAGACGGGATACAAGATGGCTTAGACAACTGCCCGCTGATACCGAACAGCGACCAACAGGACGTGGACCGCGACGACAAGGGCGACGTCTGTGACGACGACGACGACGGAGATGGGATACCGGATCTGGACGACAACTGCCAGATCGTGCCCAATAGGGATCAAAAGGACTCTGATAGTATGGAAATGTTTTCCTTTAATTTAGTACCTTTTTAGTAGTACCTTAGTAGTACTTTAGTACCTTAGTATTTTATTTATTTATTTATTTGGGAAACCAACAGTACAATACTGTTACGCGCTGGGGTTCGGGATAAATATATGTTCCACCAAAGCACAACTTAAAGACTGTATTCAACACTTAAAACACTTCACAAAAACTTTAAAACTCTCAATTCGCTTGTTCCGTTTTGCTTCAGGTGATCCGTTCGCTGTTTTGCTTCGAATAGTTCCGATTACTAGCTGACTACGTGCCATCCCTGCAACGCTTTTATAGCCGACACTTCCCTGAATCCCTAGAATTATCGAGAATATTCCACACATCTCTAGTAGTAGTTCCCGCTATCTGACAACAGATGGCGTTGTACTTTTCGAGCGTACTAGGTGCTTCTAGATCCTTCGATATTCGTTCGACTATTCGGCGATAGATGGCGTTACTCTTACCGGCGTGACAATACAATCATATAATATTTTAAAATAAAGCTAAAACAATAACCAAACATGTTTCTACCATCAAAATCACATATAAGTAGAAAGTGATCAGAGAAATTTAGATATTTAAGTTTACACAAAAAACAAAAGCAACTACGCAATACGCACATATTCTTATGTACATCAATTTACACTGTAAAACTAAGTAATACTCATCGGACTAAATCAGCATACAAATACTCCAAAATATCTAGGAAGAAATGATTAAGGTGACGTACGTGATGACGAAGTTGGCGCTGACGATGACTTACTTGACCTTGAGCTGTAAGGTCGTACTTAACAGAGCTTAGAAGGCGGTGATCATTCGCAGCAGACATGGTCATCGTAGTCGTGTGGTTGGTAGAGTGGGGCAGCCGTTTGATAAAGATTTAGACCTTACATCTCTATGAGAGTGGTGGACATCATTGGTCTACATTCACTTCGGTAGCTCGTCCACCAGTTAAGAGCACTTAAATTTTATTAGTACAATTTTGAATTCGCGCAAAGTTCCATGAACAGTGTTGAGAATTAAAATTAATTTGGAGTCGATTTGTGTTTTTCTAGATGACGGCATTGGAGACGCCTGTGACAATGACAATGACGGCGACCGTGTCATCAACGAGCTGGACAACTGCCCGAACAATTCGCAGATATTTCGAACGGACTTCAGGTAAGCAAAGATATTTCTGACATTAGTCATCTGTCTTGAATATATGTTAAATAGAACCTTGAACGGTTTCTCATGGCTTAATGTGAATAAAAGAACATAATTAAAAGTCACTAAATTCGTTTACTCAATACAGGCAAATGAGATGGTCAAGTGATTTGAGCTGGCTCATGCGTAAGAATTGAAGGACCATAGTCCAAGACAGCAAGTGGTAATGGCAGCAGATACCTACCCTCATTGGGTGGATTATAATCGAAAAAGAAGATTCTAGATGTTTTCTAAACATTTTTTTGTTTCTGTACCGATAATGAGGAACGTTGATGCGTTGCAGACAGTTCACCACGGTCCGATTGGACCCTGAAGGCGAGTCTCAACAGGAGCCCAACTGGAGGGTGACGGACAACGGAGCTGAGATCCTGCAGACCCTGAACTCGGACCCTGGTCTGGCGGTCGGATTCGACAGCTTCGGCGGAGTCGACTACGAGGGGACCATCTTCGTCAACACAAAGATAGACGACGATTATGTTGGATTCATTTTTGGGTTCGTATGACGTCACTACCGACTATATAATTGGCTCGGATTTTTTTATTGCTTAGATGGGTGGACGAGCTCACAGCCCACCTGGTGTTAAGTGGTTACTGGAGCCCATAGACATATACAACGTAAATGCGCCACCCACCTTGAGAGACAAGTTCTAAGGTCTCAGTATAGTTACAACGGCTGCCCCGTCCTTCAAACCGAAACGCATTACTGCTTCACAGTAGAAATAGACAGGGTTGTGGTGCGTACCCGTGCGGACTCACAAAGTCCTACCAACAGTAATCTTGTTATCCCTTTAGGTCCAGTTTGAGATTCTGTAATTGTTATTATGATCGGTATATAAGGTTTCCTTCTATTTCCTCTAAATCACGTCTCATTCAACATCTGGTTGAAGTCTCTCATTGTTGTTGTAAGACGGTTGTCCCCTCCATCAAGCCTTACAAGAAACCTTAGAGGTTTCCTCAAGTTTCGACTCCTCAATTATCCTTTTCCAAGTCCTAACAATGGTAATGTTATACGATCGCAGATACCAAAGCAACAAGAGGTTTTATGTGGTCATGTGGAAGAAGGATAAACAGACTTATTGGCAGAAGACTCCGTTCAGAGCGGTCGCCGAGAACGGCATACAGCTCAAGCTGGTCAACTCGAAGACCGGCCCGGGGAAGATACTCAGGAACGCTCTCTGGAATACTAACTCTACCCCGGATCAGGTAATAACTTCAGGTGGTGATTTCTTGGGAACTCCTTGGGTTTCTCTGTGTGAGCTCGTATGGTATGTGCCCATAGAGCAATTTCATTTGGCTAACAGTTATATGTCGTCGCTTTGGTCCAAACCAATTGAGGCTTCGACTTTTGAGGCCTCAAACTGTCTGTCCACGGACTTTGTATAGGAATGGATTTTTTGAATTCGTCGTGGCCTAAAGGTTAAGACGTCCGGTGCATTCGTGTTGAGCGATGCACCGGTGTTCGAATCCCGCCGGAGGGTATCAATGTTTCTAATGAAATACGTACTCAACAAATGTTCACGATTGACTTCCACAGTGAAGGAATAACATCGTGTAATAAAAATCAAACCCGCAAAATTATAATTTGTGTAATTACTGGTGGTAGGACCTCTTGTGAGTCCGCGCGGCTAGCTACCACCACCCTGCCTATTTCTGCCGTGAAGCAGTAATGCGTTTCAGTTTGAAGTTTTTAATTTTTTTGTACAGCCCATCTGGTGTTAAGTGGTTACTGGAGCCCATAGACATCTACGACGTAAAAGCGCCACTCATCTTGAGATATAAGTACCTACCGGCGTGGACTCACAAGACGTCCTACCGCCAGTAAATTTGTTTACTTTTAGTTAGTTTTATTAGTTTCATATTTGTGGGCTTATTACCGTTGACCAGGTCACCCTGCTCTGGAAAGACCCTCGCAACGTGGGCTGGCGCGAGCAGACGGCCTACCGCTGGAAGCTCCTCCACCGCCCCAAGATCGGTCTCATCAGACTGAAGATGTACGAGAACAACCGCCTGGTCGCGGACTCTGGGAACACCTACGACTTCACCCTGAAGGGGGGGAGACTAGGAGTGTTCTGCTTCTCCCAGGAAATGATCATATGGTCTAATCTACTCTACAAATGTAATGGTAAGCATTGTTTCAGATGTTTCGTTTGCATTATGGTTTATAGCATCAGCGGACTCAGCAGACGTGTATATATCGAGGAATGAAAGGATATCTGGTTTTGAGCGATATTTTTGTAATTTTACGGGAGAGCCATTTAAGAGAGTTTAAAATTTAGAAAAAAATATCATAACAAAAAAAAAACTTCTTCAGCTATTCGAATGGATTAAACTTAATTGAAGTTCAATTAAAAATAAATAATAATTTAAAAAAACTAACAAAATACGCTTTTATAGAAAATCCAACAGAAAATAAATTTTAATTAAAAATAGTGTAAGAAAAAATTATTTTATTGTAAAAAGTTTCGGTCGAACATATCGCGAATTGCTTAAGATAGACATTGAAGAATTCATGAAAATGGTTATTAATTTTGGCATCTATGATGCTAAATAGTTAATACCCCACGGACATTCAATTATCAAAATAAAACAATTCACACAAACTCCCTCCTCGCGATACCACAAAAAAATCCGAACTATCTCATATTGTGTTTTCGGAGCTCACTTTTCTTTGGATTGAGACATTACCAGCCATAATTTACCCCAGGGCTCCCAAACTTATTTTGTCTACTGCCCACTTTCAGAATAAATTCTTTTTAACATTCCTATGTTTTCACCTTCTTAGGAAACCATTATAGCGAGAGCTCAGTCGGTGTCTAAGAGTCCCTCCTAGATCAGCGGTCGGGGAACTTTTTTAATTAATTATTACCCCAAACTATTTTTGTGTAAGTTGATATTACCCCATGGCGAAGAACAAAAAAAAACCGAAATCGCTTCTTTTTAGCATCTTTCATATTCATGACAATTTTGAAAATAAAAAAAAATTTTTCGTTACATTTTTTTTATTTTTTTTATTGCTTAAATGGGTGGACGAGCTCACAGCCCACCTGGTGTTAAGTGGTTACTGGAGCCCATAGACATCTATAATGTAAATGCGCCACCCACCTTGAGATATAAGTTCTAAGGTCTCAGTATAGTTACAACGGCTACCCCACCCTTCAAACCGAAACGCATTACTGCTTCACGGAAGAAAATAGGCTGGGTGGTGGTACCTACCCGTGCAGACTCACAAGAGGTCCTACCACCAGTAATAAAAATTTCATTTCGTTTCATCGAGTTTGAAATCACAACGATTCTTTATATACTTTTTACTCACAAAAGTTTCATTTTACCCCATTTGTTGTAATTTACCCCGGTTCCCCGACCGCTGTCCTAGATGAAATTATAAATCGCCTCCCAAGCCTCTACACAACGCTCCCTTTTTTCTGGGTCTCTTATCTCCCCTCTTTAGGCCTACAGCGCCCACAAGGGGGCATTATCGCCCACTTTGGGAAAGGCCGATTTACCCAACTACGTATATTCTTCTTCCAGATAAGATTCCGGCGAGCATAGCTTCGGAGATTTCAACAAGGAACCATTTCGAAATCGACCAAGATTATTTCACAAACGAGTAGCCACAGACGAACGGACGTGTCGATTAACATTTTTTTATAATTAATGCAATTAATCTGTAAATACCCTCGTTCGCGCAGAACGTGACGTACGGATGTGCTTATGTTAGTTGTTAAGTTTAAATGAATATATTTTTTAATGATACGTCTGTTTTATTGCCACTATCGTAATGGCCAGCCTTTTATTCCCTACCTATTCGCTGGTAGCCTAAGAGGCTATTCTGGCTACGCCCTAACGAGTAGGTGTGCTTACGGGCTCAACCTGAGAGAATTTTCTAAGCCTTAGCAAGCGCAGTGCTTCGAGAATCTACCACCGGATCGGAATAGCGACCCACTGAGAAGATCCAACGAGAATCTCAGTGGGCTGTGTCTATGGGAAGCTCAACCGTTACAAGATCCTCTTCTTCCTTTTGCGATACGAAGCGAGTAATGGAAGTATCGAAGTTTGAATAATAGTATGAGCATATTTAAGTACATAAATGTTCTTCAAAAAGTTTTTATTCATTAAAAATTCTCAAATATATCAGTCAGAAATACATCAAATGTCATTATTGAATTATACGTTTTACATTAAGAGTTTTTATCTAATTTCTAATACAATTTACAATGGAATTTGAGAAAAACGATACAGAGTTAACAAAAAAAGCTCCCAATAAAAACTTGGCTAATGATGATGAAGGTCGCGTAGGAGAAATGGTGACTGCAGATTTGGATGAATCTCCTACCGAAAGTTTGGGAGGAGTTGCGGAACCGGCAATTCGCAATGAAATAATACCTTTAGCTAACGTAATCTCGAAAACGGGTAGCCAAATTGAGACGACACATGCAAATTTTCGTAACGAAGTTAAGCCCCAAAGTTCTAAGCAACGAAGCCGTGGAAGATTTCTGGATTTCGTCAGGCACGCCCGTCCCAGTTTCCCTAGGAAATCTAAAAGCATAGCTAAAATCCTGCTGAAGAATTTATTATTAGCTAAAGGCTTCACTTCAAAAACTGCTGTTGATGTTAAAAGAAGAGTTGAAAAGAAGAGCATCCAACGTAATCCCAGAAGGTCTATAGGAAACGGTACTAAGAAGCCGTGCCCTAGATGTGGACATTCTTGCTGCTTCAAAGATTCCTCCATGCGATAGTTTTTTTTAATTGAAAAACCGTAAACATTTTGTTTGGATCTATTTCTAATTTATTAAATCTACTTTTGATAACTCACTAAAGTTCATTATTATTTATTGTTACACATTTAAATGAAAAAGGTTAATGAAGATGGTTAATTGGGGAATGACAGTACATAAGACAGAAAACAGTTTTTTTTATCTAATTATTTCCTTACGGGCACTTTTAAATCGTTCGACTTATTAAAAATACAGTTTCATCACTAATGATCGGCAAAGATAGACAGTGCACATTTATCAAATGTAGGTATTTCATAATGAGATGAAGTTATGAAAAAACATTGTTAGACACGAACTGGAACTAATTTATAAAGAACCGTATATTACTGAACGAGAAATGTTGTGACAAGGGGTTTGTTAGTTTAATAACAATTTTAAAGACAATTCAATTCTCTCAGGCGTAAGCATATAAGTTTCTTTTGTGTTATTAACAATTATGAAATGTCCTATTTCAAAATCAATTCCATATGAATGAAAAATAACTGTGATTGAGCTTTTAACTGTACAAAAATAAAACGTAAAAAGTTGGAGCACTTAATAGTAGTGGCGAGGGTAATAAACGGAATGGTGGCGTTTGCCGGGAGTGTCCGGAGCAATCACGTATGAGTGCCCCTCGTTAGAGCTTCATACAGACAGACGCTAGACGACTATTACTGACTTTAAAATGTAGACGAAATTTAATTGTTGACAAAACTCGTAGAAAAGGAGACGTGGTTTGTTATATACCCTAGCTCTATGTAATATTCCGATATGCAATAGGAATTTTACCACATATATACATTGGCGTACGTGACTGTCGTGAACGCCGATTCAGCACCTTTACCTCATGGAACCTCGAAGCCAGCCACGAGGCCCGCACTTCTGAACTAGTTATCCTACTAGCACTAGTTACCTATTCAATAAAACGTGAAAAAAAAAAAATGTACCCCTTTTAACGAAAATTGCGCGGACGGAGAAGTATGAAATTTTCCACACTTATAGAGAATATAGAGAAAGAGTGCAGAATGCAAATTTTTTTAACTAGCCATAAATTGTACGTTAAATAAAAATAAAAACATCCACACACTACCGTGTATTTGATACACACACACACACACACATACAAAAATTCAAACTCTTTTATAGGAAATTCACTCAAATAGGAAATTGAGAATAGATTCATATTGTTCGTCTTCAATATTATTTGTCTATATTGTAGCCTTAGCGAAATCTGTGATTATAGAAGTAAAGTCTTTGACAATAGAGCCGTAATAATGTTCAAACTTATAATTTCAATTAATAATTATGGTCGAATTTCGACTATTGAACAACTACTATATATGAGGCCTATAAAATGAAAGGCAGCTATATCCAAGTCTTTCAAATATTCAGGTAAACCACAAAAGTCGTCCCTAAACACATCATTACGGATCCTCCCGATCCATCGAAGTACTTGCTAGGTAGGGCCAGTGTTAGCAACACTCCCGGTTTGAGAATCTGAAATAACTTTGTTCGTATAGCTACGATATTCTTTATTTTAAAGCAGATTTATAAAGAATGAGAATATTACTAATAATCTGAATTTTAAATGATAAAATTTCGTTTATTTGTACTTATTACAGAGTAAACTTAACTTTTTTGAACTGAATTTGTTAGAGATTTAGCTGCATTTATTATAACATGAAAACACTAAAGCATGTTCAACTAACTAAACAAGATAGAGCCACTGTTAATACATTTTACGACATTATGACGTTTAGCTGCCTTTGATTTTATAGGCCTCATATTGTTTAATGCTTATCCCACCCTTCAAATGAAAGGGCTGTTTCTCTGAAAAATTTGAACAGAATAGCGGTATCTGTGCGCAAACTCGCATGGTGAATTTCAAGCAATAATACATTTTGAAATTTCATTTTTACAATCATATTCCTGCTTTGAATTGAATATTATAAAAATAGTTTTCTGATTACGTTGAAATTTTTGCCGTGGGCTAATAAATTTTATGAGTTACAAAAAAAGAAAACTTTTGTAAATGAAGTCTTTTTGACTACCATACACGATGAATGACAACAATAAGGGTATTGGAGTGTGGAAAGGAATTTAAATGAAACAATTTTTTTTTTATCACAAATATATTTATTTCTTCATTTATTGTATAATGTTTACGTAACACAGAAGCCGAAACGTAATAATTAAATTATAAATAAATGTAAATTCTTAGTTGTTTAACGTTTGTGGTTGGAATTTATTTATTTGAGATTAAATTCTCATCAATTTTAATAACATTTTAGTATTTTAACAAAATTCACTAAGAGGTACTGTTTTTTTTAGCGAAAGCGAATGTGTATTAAAATGGTGTATTAATAAACCCTTAAAATAGTTTTGAAAAAATATCAAAACCTCATACATTAAAATACTGGTAACTATTGTTTTAATTTATATTTAAATTCAACAAAGAATTTCGCTAAATGGTTACAGACAAATAATTAAAAAATACTAGGTTTTATATTACTTTATTAAGTACAATTAAGTGGGCAGGTTCAACGGCATTTGCATCAATCTATAGCTTTGTAAAAGATTGATATCTTGCTTGTTATGAACCTTGACAAATTTGGACGTGACGGAATGACGATGGCTATAAAACTAATATCATCTATGTAAACTTACATTACTGAAATTAATCGTAAAATATTCATACTATTCAAGGCTGAATTAGGATTTTAAATATTATTAACTTTGAAATTATATCTTCTCATGTCAAAATGGCTAACTTCTGTCAAGTACTTGAATGTACGATAGATTTTTTTGGTTCCTTGCAATTTGATAAAAACCTGCGTCTATGCCTACGTTAAATAAATTATTGAATATCTTTATTATTACATCAATTCTTAAGCACAATAGGTTTATTAGAGTTAGAAAATCATCTAATATACATATTATTTTCATTTCTACATATTTCGGTTTTCTTTAATTCATTACAACTATATACATGAATTAGCTTCGATTGTACTGAAAATTTAATAAATGGTAAATTTTGCACAAAATATTTGGTATAATTGAACACATTGTGATGACGTTGCCTTTGAATATTAATAAATGATGAATAAATAGATCGGTAAAAATATTTAAAATTTCATTATCATTCCGTAAATTATAAAACACTTTATAGTCTAAATTCTGAAACTAAAATCTATGTTAAAACGATTTTTCAATGATTAAATCATTAAGGGAAGATAAAATATTTTTGATATGTTAATTTCATTATTCTGAGAGTAAAAAAAACGCATGTACTCGACGTATTTCTTAAAAAAGGTTTTTAGCAAAGAATAATTTCACTCCGCAGGCAGGACAAATTCCTTTTAAAAGGGTCTGTATGTACTCCTATCTTGATAAAATCTATTTACCTTAAACATTTAAAACTCAGTTCATTTTATTATCATACCGTTTATATTATTGAAAACATTATTTACAGACTGAGCACTAATGAATGTATTGTCGATTTTCTTAATCATTTAAATGTACTAACATGCTATACATACATATATGCTTTTTTTTGTAAATTATTATCGCGATTAGATCAAAAGAGTTAAGCTTAAAATCTTCTGAAATGGGATTTTTTGTAACGGAATGAAACCCGTGACGGAAGTTTCAAATAATGTACTTTTTTTCTACCATGATGGAAAATATCCAAAAATTGTATTACAAGTTAAAAAAGCATTTTCGCAAGATTTCACCTTCCCATTTACTAACTTTTAAGATCCTGAAGTGAGATTGTACAAGTAAGAAAGCAGGAAAAGTTGAAGCCAAAGGTTTTCCAAATACTTACCGTTTTTACAGCGAAAATCAAGGAATTTAAATGAGAATAATTCAAGTGAATCTTTCGCTACCTACCCCATATTGGTTATCCATTCTCACTTCTAAAAGTCAAACCAATGTTCAGTGGCGGATTTACGCCTAGGCTCGTGAGGCCCGGGTCTAGGGCGGCGGCAGATTAGAGGGTATTTTTAAATGCCAAAATTTCATAGATGAAAAGCAATAAAGACAGTCTCCTTTGAAAATTAATTCCGATAATTAAAAAAATTACTATCATTATTTTAAATTTAAAATAAAAAAATTTTGGATCTAAATTACTGAAGTTTATTCGAACTTTAAGGGCGGTTTGATAAACAGGGCCTAGGGCGCGATCAAGCCTAAATCCGTCACTGCCAATGATAATTGAATTAGATAATATTTATAGGTCAAAATTTAAAGAAACATAAAATATACATATGTATAGAGCAAAACAGTACTGTTCTACAGTCGATATGATAAGATTTAGAATTGTGTTCAAATCAGTCTATTTGGGCATCACTCAGAATAAGATTTTGGGTACAATTTTGAGTCCATTCGTTGAAGCGAAATTTATTTAACTAGTAACATACACCAACTCACAATTAGACTCATCAATCTTACAATCATAGTGCTCGTATATTGTGTAGTATTGATTTTTAATTTATTGTCTTTCCAAATCTAGCTAAACAGCCAATAAATGTTTTTGATGGTAAATAAAAAATAATCATTTGAGGTTCCAATTAAAAAAAAATACACAAAAAAAACACGCGCGTCTATTAATAAAAAAAAAGAGCGTATTATTGATTTAACAAAATTTTTGTATACTTTATCGCGCGATTTGTATTTACGATAATTTCATTTTATTAGACGTTTTAAAACGCTTACTGCATATTCACCTAAACTATAACAACAGCTTAAATCACATCATCTACCAGTATTCTTGTTTGAACAAAATAATTTGATGTGCCAAATAATTGATAAAAAGATTAGTAGGTACACTCAATGTAGTCTTGTAAAAAATATTTATGGCTCTCATTGCCAAACGAGTCGATCTAAAACATCACTTCCGCCATCCAATGAACCAACTTCGCGATTTTTTTGTAATAAATCCCAACCGTATTTAATGCTGCAGACGCATCAAAGAATGGACTCAAATATTTCCAATAGAAAAAGTTATATAAAGATTTCGATAGATAAAACGTGCGGAGACGTTACAAATTTACAAATAATATTTGGTGTTATGTTCACTATAATACTAATGCGTCCTCTCCAACACCGTCTGTCTGTACGTTCTTCTTTTAGGTCACTTACATTTACATATTTATCTCAAGTTTGTTTACGCCGTGAACTGGTAGACCTGTATTGACAAAAACATTAGGATTAATCCGTTAATTCGTTAATTCTTTCTACTCTAGCAACATTTGTTTTTATTGCCTAGACATCTGATTTTAAAGGTATACCATTCATACTTAACTACTTTAGTAATTTAAGTGTCTCTTATCAGTCTGCTTAGTGTGAGTTTTTTAACGTTCTCGATAGCGTAAAAGTTAACTCAAACTTGTCTGGAGTTTGCTTACGTTTGCCGCTAGAGGCGCTGTTCTCACAGCTCTCTCAGAGCTCACATCCCACCTGTTGTTAAGTGGTCACCGGAGCCCGTAGACATCTACAACGTAAATGCCGCCACCCACATTGAGATATAAGTTCTAAAGTCTCAGTATAGCAACGGCTGCCCCACCCTTCAAACCGAAACGCATTACTGCTTCACGGCAGAAATAGGCAGGGCGGTGGTACCTACCCGTGCGGACTCACAAGAGGTCCTACCATCAGTCAGTTATAACAAAAATAAACCTAATTACCTAATGGTTAAAACCTACTATGTATTTATATGTCTTACTTAGCACATTGTCTCGGGTCTGGACGGTCCCGGAGGCTGCGGCTGCTGTTGCTCCGCGGACCTTTGACGCGGGAGCTGAGACGAGTCGAGCACTATGGAGGGCCGCGGCGGGAGATTCTCGCTCACCATGTGTGAGAGCGAGAGGTCGCTAGATGCATTCGTATCTCCTGTTTATTTAAAGGGATTAAGTTATAAATTTCAAATCCATTTTAAGGATTTAATAAATGAATGAATGAATGATTTATTTTATTTCAAACAACAACAAGTTCATATCGCTAATTTGGAGCAACAGTGACATAATTGCTAAAAAAAATTTTCCACTTAGATATGGTTTGATTTTTTTTTTTTTAAATTAGTCTCCTTTCAAGCCTAGACTTTGAAGTCTGAACTACAAGTCTGAAGTTTGAACTACAAAAGTAAAATAATAGGGATAGTCATTACCTGTCAGAAATATTTAGAATCTTCATTAGTATTACGAAAAAATCCTAAAACTGGCGTAGTCTAAAATTTACAAATTTGTGTCACAGTCGCTCGAAATGAGCGATATGTGTAACATAGTATCATTGAAACATACTTAAAATTAACAAAACCAATCAAATAAAAAAGATACATTTATTATTAAAAATAGTTATCAGTTCAATATATTTCAAATATTCCATTTAACTGATACTTACTTCGAACCAACCATTATTATTATTATTATTATTATGTAGTCCGCAAGTAAGCAAGACTCGTGATATCGGATTCATTATTAGCTTGATCGTGTAAAATACGTACAGTACCTAGCAATAATTGTTGAAGGTCGACTTTTAGATATAAGCAATCGGCTATTTTCTTCGTAATACGTTAAATATCTGTGTCGCACATTAGGTTAATCGTGTGCCCTAATAGACACCGGGTTGCTAATTGTTCGTGAAACAGAGATAGCGCTCTACGAAGCCGGAGCTAGTCGATTATCTCTTTCTAAAGTTCGATGTGTATTATTTAGCGTCGGGTACTGTACGTACTCTTCTGTGCAATGCCCCTCTGTGTATTTCTACATACCTGTTCGGTCGTAACAAAAACAACCCTGTCTTCATGTACATTAAGTTGATTATGATTGAAGCAAACGGCGGGAATTTGATAGGTCGTGCATTAGTGTGAAATGCTTCTACAAATGAGTTTGCTGGTAAAGTTCCTGAAGTTACCCACTAAGTGTTTCATTAGGTCAGAATTTCGATCCGGTGGTAGATTCAACAAAGCACTGCTCATGCTTGCCCGGATGTTAGCAAATTCTTCCAGATTGGATCCCATGAGCTCGTCCACCATTGAATCCAGAGGAAGCCAGCGATGCTACTATTTTATTTTTATTTTTTTTTATTGATGCACAAAACAAATTACAACCAAAGAAATTATAAGTTTAAATGTTTAACATAACAATCTGGATTGCAATTCAAAACAGGTGCATACTGAAAAATTTTTACAACTGAACAGATGCCTAAATACGATGTATACATACTCACATACGCTCACACTCACACACCCACACACACACAGCCGCACGCACACACACTCACACACATATGTAAGTTACTATCTGATTAAATTAGATCTAATGTATTATTAACTGGACAATATTAATTATTTGAGAATATGTTTAACTAATTTACAATATTTATAAAAATTACTCTCAAATATATCAAGATCAGTGCTGTCACTTGCCAACTCATTATAATGTCGTGCCATTCTAACAATGGGATTAAAGTATGAGATGTTATTTTTGTGAACTTCAAGTGCAAAAAGATTAGTGCAATGTGATCTACGCGCAGTATATCTGGTATTAAAAGATATTTGCGAAATTAAATCACTTGAATTTATTATATAATGTATGATTTTGTACAAATAGACTAAGTCAAAGTATTTACGACGAAGAGATAAAGATTCAATTTTGAATTGGGTTAGTCTATATTCATAATTAAGATTATTTCGACCTGGTTTCAAACGGTAAGCTAATATCCTAAGACATTTTTTCTGCACTTTTTCAATATCATCTATATGAACTTTATAATACGGAGACCATATTGGTATCTAAATACGCAAAGTACGCAAAAAGAAACCTTAAAACCATACCCGAAGGCTGTCTCGGAACCGGCAGTAAGACTTCGCAACAAGCATCATCTCCGAGCAGAGGCTGCAGGGGCGACGGAAGCTCCCGGCTGTCGACAGCTGAAGATCTCCTTAGCGAGTGCCTGGTGTTTTTTGAGAAAACATTACTTTTGGGGAGCTATACTTTTTTGTCGGTTTGCTTTTATCTCTTTTTTTTATTTATTTGTTGCATAGATGGGTCGACGAGCTTACGGCCCACCTGCTGTTAAGTGGTTACCGGAGCCTATAGACATCTACAACATAAATGTCGACATCTACCTTGAGACATGAGTTTTAAAGTCTCAGTATAGTTACAACGGCTGCCCCACCCTTCTAACCGAAACGCATTACTGCGAAAAGGGCACATGTCGCATATTTTGTCAAATACGTTTTTTTCATATACATGCAGTTTTGAGGCTTACCTATACCCATTTTATAATAATTCCAGTAATTTTCAATTGCTAATTAACACTAAAATATATCTCAAAAGTTAATATTTTAAATTTTACACTGCTTTAAAAAATAATCAGTTTTTTTCATTTCCTGAACATTTTACATTTACAGAGATGTGCCCTTTTCGAAATTGCATATTCAATTAATGAAATTACCTCTGATGCGGTAGACGTCTGTCTGTCACGGTGAGGAGACTCGAGCTCTGTGGTTGCTCCTCGCTGGTGTTGACGCAGACGCTGATGCTGATCGCTCCCCCCGCGGCCGCCCCCTCCCCGCCCTCCTCCTCCTCGTATCTGTCCAGTACAGACCCCATTTCTAGGCTACGGTCGAAAATTAAAGTAGTACTCTCTGATCTTCGTTGTGGGACATTCACTAAAGCCGTTTTTAGTCACGTGTTATTAATACGCTTTAATTAGCTTCAGACGTATGTATGTATGTAACGGAATCTTTGAACATGATTTTGACCCTCTTCAAAACGTCGGATTAACTCGAAATTTGGTATACTTATTAAGGAGCGATGCGAACAGAATATTAAAAAAAATTGAATTTTTTTTTGAAAAAATTGAAATTCCCCTACAAAACTTTAAACTATTATTTATTTTTATGAAGTATTTCATTTTTTTCCTAATTAATTTTAAAAATTACAATATCCTTGTCTTCTAGCCAAGTATCTTTTGTATTTGGTATCTTTATATTTTATTGCTTTGATGTTGTTAGTTATGATTTTTATAAACGTTGCCAACACTACGAGAGTAATGAAGGTGGGAAAAGAACTTTGCCCATAGTCTTTTTCATCATGATGTTTTTGTGTCATATTTACGTTATTAATATACAATAATATATCGAAAATTTGTTTACGAATTGAATCAACTAAGAAAAACGAAGGAATCGAACTAAAAGAAAAGTCTGTATAAGGAAATACGAGTAATATAGTATACTATTAACCTAGTAAAGTCTAAAACAACGGAATTCATATTCCAGATAAGATTTAAAATAATATCAAAAATCTTCGTTGTAGAGTTTATTTTGCAATCACAATGGCAGGGGCAACAATTATTAAGATTAATCGTTGACTTGCTCGAAATAAAACAGACCAACTTAATTTGATTATAGTTATTATTTTCCAGACCGAAAATAAGAAATCATGTCGAGTTGCGTCTAATATGATAAAATTCTTTCGTCTATACTAATATATAAATCTACAGTGGTTTTTACGGATGTTCCGTTATAACTACTGAACCGTGCATCCGATTGACTTGAAACTTGGTATCCGTGTAGAAAATACATGTACTTAATGGATAAGCTAATATTTATATGAGTGTTGGATTCCCTACACCAGTTGCGGGGGCGTTAATGATGAGAATGTTTGTGGGGGTGAGAAATTATAAGGTTAATTTTAAATGCCCAGCGAAGCGGACGGGTCAGGTAGTCTATACTTCTATAATAATATTTTAAAGAAGAAAGATTTGTTTGTTTGTTTGTATTGATTAGGCTCCGAAACTACTGAACCGATTTGAAAAATTCTTTCACTGTTTGGAAGCTACACTATTCCCGAGTGACATAGGCTAGAATCATTTTTGAAAAAAATTAGGGATCTTTACTAAAACTCAATAATGTAACCCAAGGTGTAAAAAAAATTACCAAAAATACATCGCGTGCCCTGCAAAAACTATTGATGATAGAATAAAATAATGTACTACGGCTTTGAAGAACACATTATTAATTACAAAAAGTCTCGCGACAGCATATCTCTGACTATTGTAGTTATGCGGCAATAAGTGTTATTTTATTTAAAAAAATAAAACAACGTCAAATATCGTTGAAATTTTTGTTAAAGACCCGAGCGGAGCCGGAGCGGGCCGCTAGTATCTTACAATAATATTAGTGGAACATAAAATTTTAAGTAACAAATTCCCTTCACCATTCCCAGTTGTCGTGCGAACTCACCGCCGTTGGATCAGGTTCTCCATGATGATGTAGTCGTCTTCTTCGGCTCCTCGAAGGTGTTCCTTCTCCATGAAGAGTGCGAACTCGGGGTTGGACATCTCGCTGGCGTGACGTCGACGGACGGAGGGGGAGGCCGCGCGGGCGGGGGACAGCAGACGTGAAGTTATCGGTGTTCTGTTCAGAGGAATGTTACTGAAATTATAATATTATCCTGGCATTCCCACTGGATCGCATTTTTTTTAAGGAATTTTTCGACCTGGTGTCTAAGACCTTTATTAGGTCATGTATTATTTTAATTTATATTCTTATTTTTATGAAAAATGATAATATCAAATGAAATGAAATATAATATAATCTCCGTAAAATAGTGGTCATTTACTGAGACTTTTTCAGTGGACTTTTTGGAGGATCACGAGAAGTTACGTCCAGCGGCTTTGTTTCATTTTCCCCCATTTGTGTACTTTCACAGATACTAAGCAGTTAATAAACCACCGTTATTACACATTTGAACCTGAAGAAACACTAAATAGACAAAATAAAACAAATCGCACAACTTCACTCCTCGCGTTCCCCCCAAAAAGACCCAGTGGATCGCTTGCATCCTGTATAGTTTAGTGTGGTACCTCGGCGTGTGCGGCGGTGAGAAGAGTCCATAGACAGTTTCCAGTTCGTCCGTGATGCTCGTGTACTCGTGCATGGCGAGCAGCAGGGAGCGGGGCGCGCCCCCCACGCGAGCCCTCCCTGTCCCCCCCGCGGCCCCCGTGGTCCCCGCACCCTCCCACCCCGATTGAGGACCTTCGACAATTTACAAATTTAACAATCGTTTAGTCCGCTTCATTAAATCACGCGGTTGTTATAAAGAATATAAATTAGTATAAGTCTATCGAGGGCAGAAGTAAGTATGGTTTAAGCAACATTTTTTCAATTTTACAGGACAACTATTTGGAGTTTAAAATTTGGAAAAAATATCAAAATAACAAAAAAGCTTCTTCGACTGTTTGATTGGAGTAAGCTTAATTGAGGTTGAATTAAAAATAACGATCTGTTGATGTTAATACCAAATAAAACGCAAGATTAATTGCAAGATAAATGTCGCGTACTAAGCGAATTCACTCCTGGATATATAAATGATCGAACAAGTGATCCAATCTTGTCCGGTGCTAGATTCTGCGAAGCACTGCTCTTACTAGGGCCAGTGTTACCAAAACTCCCGGTTTTAGTCCCGTGAACTCACCTACTAGCTCGTTGAATCTAGAATAACCCCTCGAGGGGTCAAAAGGGGGACAAATGATCCAATCTAAATTTACCTGTTACGGAATTGTGCACAGAGCCAGCGTCTACTGCAGAGTTGTCGGGTTCAGAATGCGTTTGACTGTGCTGTCTCCTTGGAGCCAGGTGTTGTGAGGAGTAGGGGCCCATGCCGCAGTCGTTGCCCCCTTCGGAGCGCCTGTAGACACGACAAGCTATTTACGGAAGATTTTCGACTAGACTTTCATAATAGGCGTAATTGTAACTAGATTTTTTTTTTTTAATATAGGTAATGTTATTGATTTTAAAAAAAACATAGGAAGTAATCGAGTCGAATAGAAGCAGCATATTTTTTTGAGAAGATTATAAAAACGTATCAATGAAGATTCCATTGATCAAAATTGCATCATCGAATTTAAAACAAAAAAATCCTTCGCAGAAATGCAATTTTCAAAAGACGAAATCTCGGTTTTTATTTATCTGGAAATTAAACAGAACTAACTTACCGTAATTCTGTGCTGAATAAAAATAAAGTATAAGTGTGTTTTTGAAGAATATAATTTATTTATTTTTTTGTAAAAAAGTAGTATTTTTAAAAGTTATCATATAAAATGTGTTTAGTGCCAATGTAGTGATTACTATTTACATAAAACTTTAATTGTAATGAAAATTTTAGAGTGCACATAAGTTATTACAAATTGGCAGAAATGTTTGGTAAAAAAGAGTTAACAGGATTATGTAGAACCATTCCCGGGATTGCTCTCCGCGGAAAGTGTGACACAAAACATAGAGCAAACTATAATCCCTCCATAGACCCAGACGTTTTGTTAGTCCGCAAGGGTAGGTACCACCACCCTGCCCATTTCTGCCGTGAAGCAGTAATGCGTGTCGGTTTGAAGGGCGGCAGGTTAATCGCTGTATTAAAAAATTGAGACTTAGAACTCATTTCCAAGTGAGTGCCGGAATTACGCAGTTGTCCGTCAGCTCGCCCACTCATGTAAGGAATTAAAAAAGGTTCCACGAGAACCGGGTCATAAGCACGTACTTTTTGTTTAGGCATTTATTTACTTAAGTGTTAATTAATTCTGTTAGTAATGTGCTTACAAGTTTCAAACATTGACTAGTTTGTGAATTAGTACTAATAAAACCTTAGCATTACACGGTTCTAATTATGTTAATTAAGGCTTGATCGTAGCTTTATCAATGTTCTGATAAAATATAATATTATATTAATAAACGTGGCAATACCTAAAAAGTTATAATGCGTTATGACTTCTGCGCATCGTCAGTCAGTTTCAAATAAAAATTCAAAATTATCAAAACACGCTATCGGCTGGTATTAATTGCATCAGATTATTATTCTTAGATTTTGAGTTTAGTGACGAAAGTGTGAAAAGAAGTCTTGTGAAAATCTTACAGTGAAAAAAGCTAATAAAACAATTCTACTATCTAAGACGTGTTTTGCTTTGAGTTTGCCGTTGCAAAATATATTACAAGATACATTAGGTATAGATGGGTGAAAGACTTTGGTTTAAGTGACATTTCGCTTAGTACTCGACTTTTTATTTATTTAAAGGTCCGATTTATTTGGTATTAGAAACAACAATCCGATGTTTTAAATTGAACTTCAATTATGCTAAATTTAACACACTGAAACAGTTGGAATATTTTTTTTTTGTTATGATTTTTTTCTAAATTTTATCCTTGAAATGGTTCTCCTGTAAAGTTGCAAAGTGTCTCTTAAATCATATCCTTCCGCCCCTCGATATAATATCCTATCTCTATATATAAAAATGAATTGCTGTTCGTTAGTCTCGCTAAAACTCGAGAATGGCTGGACCGATTTGGCTAATTTTGGCCTTGAATTACTTTTGGAAGTCCAGAGAAGGTTTAAAAGGTGGATAAATATGAAAATGCTCGGAATTAAATAAAAATAACAATTTTGTTTTCCCTTTGATGTGTCCCCCGTCGGACGGATTCCTTTTGTTTGTTTTAAGTTTATTTTATACAAAAGTTTAGGTATTTTATTTATTGATTAAGGCACTACGAAGTCTGCCGGGTCAGCTAGTATTATATATACACAGCTATTTCCTTTGGGGTTCGCGTGTCGTGGGCACAATTAAAATTTGTTTTTACATTTCAATCTCGCGTTTTTGACTTTCATTATAATATTTTCGACATCTTGAATACTTCACAGATGCCGTGGACACGACGAATGATACAAACATTAGTTGATTTCGAGAATATTCTATGCACCATAAATACGAGCAGATGGAATTAACGTTAGTATTTAAAAAATGTTCATCGTAATGTCAAATTTTAGTATACGTATTATTCATTCAGAATTCAGTTAAAAAAAGACATAGTGTGCGGACTAGACTTTTTTCTAACAAAGGAAAATGTTTTGCGAGCAATTTCCAAACTATCACAGTTTTTCTAGCTCCTCGGCATATGGAGTACAAATTGATTATTTAAGAATACTTAATAATTTAGGAGGCTTGGAGAGCTTACATATTATTATTATATATGGGCTGTACAAGGCTTTGACATTAAGTCTGTTTCAAGAGTTAAATTTATCTGCAACTCTATACGAATATGGAGCAGTTAATAACGATATTGAGGTCGGATCTGGCTTTTAACGAAAAATAAATTAGCATTTTACAATTTGAACTTTTCATTAGTCACTTGAATTTAAGCTTAAGGGAACGAATTTTTCAATTTTTTTATAGCTTTTTATACTATATAGTATAAAGGCGGACTAATGCTATAGGCATTCTCTGACAGTCTACCTTAGGGGAGTGCAGAGATGAACCTTGGTAGGTGTAGTGTGAAGGTGATATTACTTAAACATATGTGTATATATAACATACATAATATTTATAGATACAAATACTCGTACTTAAATAAATACATATACATAAAAAAATATATAAATAAATATTATCTATTAGATTACTCTGCTAACTCTCTGAGAAACAGTTCTCGAATCTTCGTCTTAAACGCTTCACGTGTAGTGGCCGACCTTATTTTGTGGTACGAATGTGGTAATTGACAGCAGCACGGAGACATTCTAACAGCAAACTCGAAGCAAACTTATACACTAACGCTATACAGGGTGTGACTGAATCATTCCCGAATATCAAAACAAAAAAAGAACACTCTAGAAAAAACCCTAATGTTTTTGTATAGCACGCAATGGAATACTATTTACATATTAGCTAACGCGCGAAAACTTTAGTCTCATTTAGGGTCACTGAATATGAAATTATTAAAACGACAATAATGTATATTTATTTTGTTAGATATAGATAGACTCCGGGAACGATTTATTGCCACCCCGCGTACTAAAGCAAAGCCAGTCGCCAATGAAACTCTTTGACTTACTGTTTCCACAACCGTCTCCTAACAGATGCAAGAAGGTAACAAACAAAAAAAACGTGTACATGAAATTATAAAAACTGATGAAGATTTTGGTTTTGGGTTTTCCCAATGTATAAACGTCCGCCAATTTATTTGATGGGCAACAAAGGTATTTAAAACATGATTGAAGTGAAATATGGATCGCAATTAAGGAAAAAACGAATGGTCATGCTCTGATCTGTCTCAAATGACACAAATGAAACTGTCTCAAATGAATTCATTAAAAGTCGACACGAGTTTGAAAGAAATTTTCAATCACATTTTCGCGTTTGTGTAGAGTTTTTACTGTATATTATTTTACGTGTGACGTACCTTCTGGTGTTAGCTGTACGTCTTGTCCCGCCCGATGTGGTCCGAGGTCTCAAGCTGTGCAGGTCTGTAGGCATTTCGCGGACTTCTGGGAGGAAAGCGTCGTCTGTCGATGATGCCACTAAATCATACAGATTCTTGGTTAATTGTCATAGCGGTTAACCGGTTTTCGAAGTGTGTTCTTTAGTGGAACTGCCCTAATAGTTTTTTTAATTTTTTTTTATTGCTTAGATGGGTGGAGCTCACAGCCCACTTGGTGTTAAGTGGTTACTGGAGCCCCTAGACATCCACAACGTCTACCGCATCAGAGGTAATTTAATTTAATCAGATAGTAACTTACATATTTGTGTGAGTGTGTGTGCGTGCGGTTGTCTGTGTGTGTGAGCGTATGTGTGTGTGTATACATAGTATTTGGGCATCTGTTCAGTTGTTTTTTTTTTCTGTATGCACCTGTTTTGAATTGCAATCCAGATTGTTATTAGACTTATAATTTCTATGGTTGTAATTTGTTTTGTGCATCAATAAAAAGAAGAAAAAAATGTACTCAAATCATTTGTACTTGTTTTTTATTCATAGCCCACCTGGTGTTAATTGGTCACTAGAGCCCATAGACATCTACAACGTAAATGCGCCACCCACCTCGATATATAAGGTCTCAAGTATAGTTACAACGGCTGTCCCACCCTTCAAGCCGAAACGCATTACTGCTTCACGGCAGAAATAGGCAGGGCGGTGGTACCTACTCGCACGGACTCTCAAGAGGTCCTACCATCAGTAAAAATTAATTTGCTGAATGTCATAAATAATTGACACAGAGAACATGTCGAGTCATGTGGGAAGATTTTTTTAATTTTTTATTGCTCTAGTAGGCAGACCAGCGTACAGCCCACCTGATGGTGAGTGGTTACCGTCGCCCATGGACCTCAACAATGCCAGGGTCAGAGCCAAGCCGCTGCCTACCGTTGAATACTCTCCACAAGCCTCATTTGAAGAAGGACATGTCATAGCGCTCGGGAAACACCGTGGAGGGGAGCTCGTTCCAAAGCTGGATAGTACGTGGCAAAAGAGATCTCTGGAAACGCACTGAATGAACTCAGTCTGTCGAAAACTTGCCTTTCTTCTCATCACTGGGTTCGGTTCTGTTGCTATCCGATGATCGTTGTCTGGCCGGCATTATGGCTGGTTGCTGTCGTACCACCGTGACGTCAGGACCGGCTGCGCTCCCTCCGGACGAAGTGGATATCGAGTCGGCTTCCGGCTCCTTGGCTTCTCCACATATAGCCTCTGTTCCCGACTGCGGCAGCTCGTCCTATTTGTTTCAATTCACATTACTTTTGTTTTTAAATCGAGGCAAATGTACTTAATGCGACAGTCGTGTGTCGCGTGAAGCAAAATAAAAACTATAAGCATTGAGAGACTTATTATTTCCTGATATATATATATTATATGTTACGGTAAAAGTACTACAACCTTTTCGGGCCGGGGGCCGAACCTCCTACGAGGTCCCCGCGCCTAGGGGGCGCGCGGGGTATGTGAGACTCAATGATCTGCAGGTGTTGAGAGCAGATCGCGACTACAATCTAACCTAATCTAACCTACGACATATTATATAATATGCAAAGAAAAGTAGGTTTTGTTTGTCATTAACATTTTTAAATTAAAATAATTTTCGTTATTAAAGCCTTTTGTATTATGTTTATTTAAATAAATATTTTTTTAATGCAACAACATTTTTAATTTATTTGTATTCCAACTTTTCTTAAAACATGAACGTAAGAGTATACATTTGCCAAAACCTGAAGACAAGAATACACATTTGCCGGGAAATGTACATATACATTATATTCAGTTCACATATATCTAACTTTTTGGCAAATGTGAACATTTACCGGTAAAATCGTACATTTCCCAAGAGTGTAACATTTACCGTAACATATACATAATGAAGCAATTTTGTTTTTTTTTAATTCCCTTTTAAGCGTTAGTGTGTTTATTTTTTGTGTTTTTCCCGTGTTATCGACATCTAGAAATTTCTGAATAGATTTTATTTAAATAAATCTTATCTTTGCTACTTTTAGATATTTTTTTAAATTGTATACTGATGACGTTTTGTTTATGACGTTCAAAATTATTTAGATAGTTTTTTTTGATAATAATTTCAGATTCACGTTTTTCCAGTGACTAGCACAGCAACTGACTAACTGGTGGATTAATATTCCTTATATATTTAACATCGAGTTAGATGTTGACGCGCATTAAATATGTTTCACTAATTCATTCGTTATTTTCTTCACAGTTCAGTAACACATTATCACAGAGTCAGAAGCCGCCTGTCGCCATTCACTGGATCAATGTAAATCGGCCATTATACTTTTACTGGTATGTTAGTTAAAAACCGTAACGTTAATATGAGACAACACGCGTAGAGCATCTTTAGGTATCGGAAGGGAGATTTATTAAAAAAAAATCTGCATAGTTTTGATTAAAAAACATCTATATAGTTAATCAAACGATTATTTTATTAGTTTTTTTTTCAAGTTAACGTCACGTTGGCGTGTCTTGGCAGCGACCCGCGACCACGAAAACTGTGTAGCAATGGAAATCTTTCAACGCTTGAAATAAAATAAGCATCAAAACGAACTATAGAAGTGTTTTAATCATAACCATGAAACAAAGGCCTTGTTTTATTAGTGTTTTAATTAACGAAACAATATGTCCATTTAATGAAGTTACGCTTATGCGTGTAATGAATACGAATTAATGAATAACGTTTGATGCTTGCGGGGCTTTCTCACGCGACACAGAAGCTTATTAGTAATATGGAAATACATTAAATACGTTTGGAATTGCGCCAATTTAACCCTAATTTCGACCGAACCACGCGTTGCCTAAACAAGCGTCGACTAAATGGGATGATATATCTATACTAACTAGAGGTCCCGCAGTAGTTGAAATTCGACTATAATTAATTGGAATTGTCAGTTTGTACACTATTATGATTGTATTTTATACTTCTATAATCACAGACTTCGCCAAGACTATACTATAAAAAATATTAACAAAGATAAACAATATTTAATCTATTCTCAATTTGACCAGACGTCAAGAACAAAAGTTTGACAATAAATAGCATGCATGCGTGTGTGCGTCAAATACATGGTATGTAGTGTGTATAATGTTTTCTTTATTGATTTAATGTATCTTTTATGCATTATTTAAAAAAATATAAGCATTGTGCACTTCTTCTCTTTATTCTCTATAAGTGTGGAAAATTTCATACTCCTCCGTCCGCGCAATTTTCGTAAAAAGGGATACAAAGTTTTTGCTTCACGTATTAATATATAGATATTATAAAGAGGAAATATTTGTTTGTTTGTTTGTATTGAATAGGCTTCGAAACTACTGAACGGATTTGAAAAATTCTTTCACTGTTTGCAAGCTACACTATTACCGAGTGACATAGGCAATAATCTATTTTGAAAAAATTTTGGCATCCTTACTAAAACTCTAATAATGTAACCAAAGGTGTAAAAAAAATTTACCTAAAATATTATTTACATCGCGTGCCCTGCGAAAACTATTCATGATAGAATAAAATAATGTACTACGACTTTGTGGAACACATTATTATTTACAAAAAGTGTCGCGACAGCATATGTCTGACTATTATAGTTATGCCGCAATAAGTGTTCTTTTATTTATATTTAAAAAAAAAACAACGTCAAATATCGTTGAAATATTTGTTAAAGACCCGAGCGGAGCCGGAGCGGGCCGCTAGTGGCAAACATATCTGCTAGCACTATTCCAGATAATAGAGGTTAGCGCGGTCGGCTTAGCGCCACCAAAATTGATAAATGTCATCATAAAATTGAAATTTAAATCGCTCTTTTGGGATTTATGATTTTCAGACAGTAAAATTAGCAATTAGTTCGGTAGCTGCCTCAATTATTCGTGGATTTGATTAAGCTTTTTTTTAGTAGATAAATAATTTTAATCAAAAATATTAAGGTAAATTTTAATTTTAAGAAAATTTCATTTTAATAATCCTCATTAATAAGATCTCTGCGAAATTAGCAAGCAGCAAAGTGCTTCAGTTGGTTAAGTTACAGTTCAAGATCAATTGTCTTTTATTGATCGTGTTCTTTTGATGAAGTATTTTGGTGTGAAATGCTATATGCTAATAGTGTGCCTTGAAAAATATTAATGAGCACGAAAAATTAAGATATTCAATACTCTACAAGTTTCTTTTCCCAAATTAATTTAGATTACAAAATAAATAAACTTACTGCTTGATTGACGTACATATTTATATGACTCATATCTATACTAATATATAAATCAGTGGTTTTTACGGATGTTCCGTTATAACTACTGAACCATGCATCTGATTGACTTGAAATTTGGTATCCATGTAGAAAATACATGTACTTAATGGATAGGCTAATATTTATATGAGTGTTGGACTCCCTACACCAGTTGCGGGGGCGTTGATGATGAGAATCTTTGTGGGGGTGAGAAATAATAATGTTAATTTTAAATGCCCAGCGAAGCGGACGGGTACAGCTAGTATTATTATAAACTGGACTGACTCAGTTGCGCCGTGGTTAGCGGTCCTGACCGTTGCGCCAAGGGTCGTGGGTTCGATTCCCACTTCGGGCAAACATTGTGTGTCGAAAAGGTTTGTTTGTTCTTTGTCTGAGTATTCATTATTAATGTATGCATATATTTAACATACATATATAAGTACGCTTATCAGTCTATGGTCTAATAACATAAGGGAATCCTAAATTACGGCCAATCGGGCCGCCCATCGCGCGTCATTTATTCCCTGTTATCATTATTATTTTTGGTGTCATAATGAATTTGTATTGTTGTTAATTTATTTAATTCTACAAAGCTATTGACAACTGTTCTTTGGGTGAAATTTTTTAGGCACATCGATTCCGGGAATTCGTCACAGAACTCAATTTCAAAAAGATGTACAGTACCCGGCGATAAATATTGCACATCGACCGTGGGAAAGAGACGGTTAATTTTTGATTCGTAGAGCGTTATACCTGTCGCACATTACCTAATTGACATTTAATCTTATAGATGAGTCGACTATTATCAAAGCCGGCAATCTGACTTTTGGACAATGATTGGTAAATCAGAAAAACGAATTATTGACTTTGTATTCCATTGGCAGTCACAAAAATCTTCGGAACGACATCTTAGATAAATAACAGGTTAACTATTAACCTTTATTTAATGCAGTTTTTGAACCGTATTCTTTGAAGGAGACGATTATATTCAAATCAATCTGTATTGACATATCAATAAAATTTTTTTGTCCAAATGCACAGATTGCCACCTTTGATAATAGACGACTCAGATATCAGATCGTTATCGTGTTTCGTCGCACACGGGTAACGCCCTCCAACAAAAACAAAATTAGACGACTGTCTCTTTCTAAATATTGATGTGCAATATTTATTGCCTGGTACTTTACCTATAGTACACCCGCAACATACCTGCTATATTTTTATATTTTCCAGAATTTCTGTAAATTAAACGGTTGTCTGGAAGAGATTGGATACGCTTTTAGCGATAAGACTGCTTAATGTACAAATGTATCTGCTTTTTTGATTGTTTTTTGAATGTAAATTGTGTTTTGGTGTGCAATAAAGTGTATTCTCTCTCTCTCTCTCTCTCTCTCTTCCATAGACGCGATTTAAAGAAACGATTGTTTAGACAACGGTCGCGGAGTTTTAACGTGTTGGATTGGCTTACGTCAGAGTGGCAGGAGGGTTGTTCGTCCTCCTCTTGTACCGGGCGCACGGCGAAGCGAGCACCAGTGTCGCTGTCTGATAGTACCTGCCGTATTATCACATATACATAGACGACATAGTTGAAGCAAAGCAGAGCGAAAGGACATGGGCCACTCTTCATACATTGCACGGCCCACTAAACGAAGTTCAAGGACAGTAATGAAATTAAGTTTAAATAACAGAGTATATATCCTCTTTATTATAAACAAATTAAAATCAATATTGTTCATGGGGATACAGAGATATTTAAATTTTAATCTTAGGTTAATATATTTTGCTAGTTTTTTGCAATATAATGTTCTTTTTAAAAAAAGATTTAATGTGAATTGTTTAAAATATAAATATATTTTACCTATGGCAACTCCTTCAATATTATCAATGTAGCTTAGTCATGTTAATTTCTTTTTATTTATGATTTTAATTGTCCCACCATTAAAATACCCTTAAATTTTATAATAAGTATGTAAAAATGAAATTTTTTTTCTATAGATATTTTATTAATGTCCTTGAGAGCACGAGTAGCTGAGCCGAAAATGGCACATGTCCTTTAGGTTTCGGAATAACACGCAAGTTATATAAAGGCACAATGACTTGCGGGATGCGATAACGAGTACGAGTCGATGCAGAATCGATTTTAAATCGATATTGGTGTATTCGCGATTAGATCGTATCAAGTCGCGATTATTTTAACTCGAATTAATACAGTTTTCGTGGTCGCGCTGGTCAAGGCGTAAGGTATTGATGGTATCGGAAACTATCAAATAATAAACGCGTAATCAAACCTTTTTGTTTTGGTAAGTACTTTTTAACTGATTAAAAGGAAAATAGGTTGCTTAATCGATTCTATGGGTTTTTTAAGGACGTTCACAGGTAGGTAACTAAGAGATTGGTGGATCGATTTTGAAAATTCTTGTTTTGGCTAATTGCTTTAAGCTTTCGTGGCCATCTACGTCATAAGCACGATACTATGCTACGTTAGGCGGGTTTTATCACGATTTTCATATTTGATGAGTTCTGGAAATTTCTGCGGCGTCGCAAGCGTAGTTAATAAAAAATATCAATGATATAATATTAACTTGATAATTATTTTATGTACAAAAAAAATGTTAATATTGTATATGCAATGCTACCTATATGCTATGTAAATCGTGCTTACGTACCTGCGATCTATATAGATTATAATAATGAGTATGGCTTCTTTGAGTTACGTAAAAAAATTATTTAATTTATTGGTCACGGAAAAACTGAATATATCAAATTAGTATAGGTTATTTAATTCCTTTTTTTATTACAAAATAAACTTAACTTGTTATTACTACTGAATACTACTGAACTTTTCATACTATATTCTGAACTTTTATCTGGTTCACGTAATTTTAAAAATTAAAGTGTTTTATACTCTACAAGTTTATTTTCTCAAATAAATTTAGATTACAATATTAATATACTTATTAATAGATTTCGATTAAATAAGGATTTATCATATGCAAAGTTTTTAATGTCAACTGCATCAAAGAAATTTTTTAAGTTAGAGAGTTACAGAGGTACAATTAATTAGAAACCACTGTAGAGATAAAAAAAAATCAATTTTAATTCACAAAACAAAACAATACTCGACTAAATGCAACTACTTTATCTATAACGACATTTAAGGCTGAGGTAGATTTACGCTAATAACCTCATATGACGTCAGGCGTTGCGATTGACGTGAAGAAATTGTAGAGTTACAGATATAAGCAGGTAGGCAGCGGTTTGGCTCTGCCTCAGGCATTTCTGAAGTGCATGGGCGACGGTAAACACTCACCATGAGGTGGGCCATATGCTCGTCTGTCCTACAAGGGCAGCAAAAAAAAAGTGAGAAAAGGTTCGTAATTTTACGGAAAAGTTCGTATTTATCGTGCTCACTCAAATAGTTTCAGTACCCATCTTAGAGCCGTATATGACATTTGACACTAAATAATAAAGTTCCATATTAATGGATATGAGAATGTCACTCATTTAATACGATAATTCATTGACAGTTCGGGTGGCATCGTTATCCGATAAAGATCCGAGTTTTCCCGAAGGAAAATAATTTCTCACTACATCTATATCATAAATGTTGTTTGCTGATTGGATTGTATCATCACAAAGCTTCCCAAAACTACTTTATATCGTGTCACTCATTCCACGACCACGAAAACTGTAAATTGAAACCTCAAATATATTAATTAATAAAAAAAAATGTCAAAATGGTTTAACTGTTTTTATCTTGAATTCGCGGACACCTTGATAATTCACTGATTCAGATAAGATAACGATGCATAGATTTAGCACCATGCGATTAAGAGTTTTGAGGTACATGAAAAATTCACCAAAATATTTTGACAAAACATTTACGTCAGCATAATTTATACAAATTGACACATTTTTATGCGGTCTTACCTCGGAGCGATCACTGGCAGTTCTAAGTCTATTCCCCCCGGCCTGGAAGCTTGGGGGCGGCGGTCCGAGAGTGTCTGTGGACCCCCGGTTGACCAGCGAAGGATGAGTCGCCATGAACCTGTGTATCACCGCCAGGTGGCTCATCGTCTGCTCCGCTATATCTTCGAGCTTTCTTAACCTAAACTCAACGCTCTGAAAAGCCATCGTATGTTTTAAACGACCATAATAAAAATCACAGAACGTCACGCTAAAATCAAATTAAGGTTAAGGTAGTTTTGAGGTTAATTTTGATTATTTGATTTTTTGTTATATTATTATTATTGCTTATTGCTTTTGTTCTATTCCGAAATTGTAGTTATTGTTTTTATTTAATTCTGGTATACTATATGTAATGTTAATGAATGTAATATGGATGCAAAATTGAAGTAAATTAAATAAAAAAAAACATTGATAGATTTGCCATTAAAACATGAAGACACGGTTATGATTACAAAAAAGATATGGCTCAAACGAATTCGTGTATATATTTTTACTAGGGTAGTTTTATATGATAAGAGAAAGTCGATAAGTCTTAACAAAACGTATCACTGATGACGACCGGCACCCCTGAATGACTTGTGACTTGTAAATTTTAAAATATTTCAACATTACTACGAATTGAACATTATTAATTCTAGAAACTTCCGTCAAACTGTTTTTTTATGGGCCAATAGACAAAGTAAATACCGCCACCCACCTTGGGATATGAGTTCTATAAGTAGTCTATACTAATATATAAATCAGTGGTTTTTACGGATGTTCCGTTATAACTACAGAACCATACATCCGATTGACTTGAAACTTGGTATCCATGTAGAAAATACATGTACTTAATGGATAGGCTAATATTTATATGAGTGTTGGACTCCCTAACCCAGTTGCGGGGGCGTTAATGATGAGAATCTTTGTGGGGGTGAGAAATAATATTGTTAATTTTAAATGCCCAACGAAGCGGACGGGTACAGCTAGTGTCTTATAGATCTATGATTAGTTTACTACCCACTGAGTTTCTCCCCGGATCTTCTCAGTGGGTCGCGTTTCCGATCCGGTGGTAGATTCTGCGAAGCACTGCTCTTGCTAGGGCCAGTGTTAGCAACACTCCGGTTTGAGCCCCGTGAGCTCACCTACTAGTTCAGGTTACGCTGGTATAGCCTCTCAAAAAAAAAAGCGCTAGTTAACGACCAGTGTGCCACGGTTTCGATAAATAGCCACAATCAGTTTTCTTGCGAGAAAATATTCTACATTCGTGATCAGAATACGCGCTTTCTTGTCTTCTTTCTCGCCATACGAATACAGCTTAATTTTTTAGCTTTAGTTTAATTAGCTTACCTGCATCGATTGTATTTGGCAATTTGCCTTTTGATTCAAGTCTTCCATTTTGGTCGTTATATGTTCTACCCTATCTGTTGTATTCCTAACTCTCTCCTCTATTGAATTCGATAATTTTATTTCCTGTAAAGGAAGGCGCGTATAGCTATATTTAGTACAGAAGAAATCCGTGAATATCAACAGTATTAACAGTTCAACATGTTCATGACGTGATAACTATTATTAAAAATTTTATTGTTATTGTTCAGATGGGTGGTTACCGGAGCCCATATACATCTCCAACGTAAATGCCGCCACCAACTTCGAGACATGAGTTCTAAGGTCTCAGTTTTTATAGTACAACGTCTGCCCCGCCCTTCAAACCGAAACGCATTACTTACTTCACGGCAGAAATAAGCAGGGTGGTGGTACCTACCCGCGCGGACTCACTAGATGTCCTACCACCAGTAATACAACAGAAATGTCGATCATTTCTCAAAGTGATTCTGATAGGTAGGCAGCGGCTTGGCTCTGCCCCTGGCATTGCTGAAGTCCATGGGCGACGGTAACCACTCACCATCAGGTGGGCCGTATGCTCGTCTGCCTAAAAGGGCAATAAAAAAAAATCATGTTCGAACAAAGGTTGAATAAAAGCCGCTAGTTTAGAATTAAATGCTAATTGAATGTTATACTCACTTGTTCCCTAAAGTATCCCTCCACGCATTCCTCTTCGAAGTCATAAAGCCTCTCCATGTCTTCTTTCTCCAAGAACAGCTTCAGTCCGTTGTCGTATTGGAATCTCTTGTGCGAGACGTTTCTGGTCACCCACTTGCCAACGGCGTAGATGTGGCAGAAGATGATCAGAGGTGGCGGCAGAACTGGCTTCTGTTCATACTCCATGACCACTGTGAACCTTTGGAACATCCACACCTGCGGCACACACAGACGTCCTCTCGTTTAGATCGACATTAAATATTCTAGATGTTCCAAGTCATACCTTGTCTAATGCATTCACGAGATTCTTTGTAAGTCTACTTTCTCAGAATTACGATATCAGGTATTAGAGAAAAAAAAACAAAAAAAAAGATTTCTTTTCAATTCGTATTAGACAGGTATGGCTTCCGAAGCGAATCATAAAATACAGACACTTGATAAATATACATTCAATTATGCATTAATTAACAATTTCAGCAAGCTAAACAAGCAAATAAGCTCTCATGTCTTTAGATTCAAATTGTATTGTAGAATGCAAATAGAATGAGAAACTAACAATTTATTTTGAAGTTAAAAATAAAATTACAAATTGTACAACTTACAAAACAATATAGATGCATTACCATTTCTATTGTAAATCGACATCTGAAGACATGAGATTAATGCGAACCAGAATCAAGAACTGTGATTTGAATTTAAGCATAGAGATATTTCTGTAAATTGATTACTAGATGTACCCGAAATTGAATAAGAGAATGTATTTCATAAACAACAAAGACTTGATTAATGATCTTTACACGAAAGATGTATTGACTCGTAACTCCAAACATGCAAATTCCTGATTCTCGTTCTGATGAGAAAAACGATAAAAGCAAAATAAAAAAATAAAAAAACCTGATGCGAGACTTCATTGACTTCGTTGAATATATTATTAAAAACGGCAATTAGGAGATTGATCAGTAATATATTGGCGATGAGCAGGTACACTGTCATGGCGATGGGCGTGATCCATCTTCCGGTGACGCATTTCCGGTCGCCGATCTCCTTCCCGCAAGGAGGATCTATGTCGCCAGCGAATACTTCACCGTACAACATGAAGTACGGTTGGTAGAATACCTACAAATAACATTCTCTGAACAGAACTTAAAAGAAAAAAAAGAAAAAAAGCAAGTGCTCTAAGGTCTAGACTAATAAATGCTAAAATTAAAGATATATAAGGAATTTAAATAAACACTAGTGCTAGGTAACAAAGCAAAAAAAAAACGAAAAAAAAACATTAAATAGACTAAAAATACCAACGTATATTTTCTCAAAAAAGAAACCAAAATGTTCTTTTAATTATTCGCACCAAAAAAATACAGATGAATGGCGATCTGTGAAGTCTACACAAAAATCTAGCCAATACAGCCATAAAATTACCAATAAACGAAATTTGATAAGAACCTAAATAAAAAAATAAAAAAATCGAAACTACATTGCAGAACCCTGGTCTCCACTAAATACAAGTCTCGCATAAGGTGATGTAAACAAGCATAACAGAGGAATTAACGTGATATTTTCTCGATAACTTTATGAATATTTCATTTATATATGTTACGGTAAAAGTAGATATTGCGGCAAATGTACACATTTTCCGGTAAATGTGCATATTTGCCTCCTCGTTTGGCTAATGTGCATTCAACTAACATTTACAATTTCAAAGAAGGGAAATGTACATTGAATTCACAATGACCATGTCGCTTTGGTAAATGTGAGCATGGTATACAAAATACGAAATCCCAAGTGCTAGTGTTGTGGTGCGAATGCGCAATCGCATGCGCATGCGCACCACTACAACCTAACTTAACCTAACCTAACCTACGACTTATTAAGTAATATGCAATGAAAAGTAGGTATGTTTTGTTTGTCATTTACATTTTTTTTAATAAAAGAATTTTCGTTATTAAAGCCTTTTGTATTATGTTTATTTAAATAAATATTTTTTTACTGCAACAAAATTATTAATTTATTTGTATTTACTGTAAGTTTTCTTAAAACATGTAGGTAAGAGTTATACATTTACCAAAACGTGAAGGCAAGGGTACGCATTTGCCGGGAAATGTACATATACATTATATTCAGTTCACATATACCTAACTTTCTGGCAAATGTGAACATTTACCGGTAAAAGTGTACATTTACCGTAACACCGTATTATTACCGTAACACCGTAATATTGTGAGCTTGGCTGTGTTCTCTTGCTCATCGTGATTTGGACCACATTCTTTTATTACGACGTGAGAATATATCGCTATTTTCAGTTTAAAGTTTTTATTTTTAAACTCAAACACTGTCACTGCAGCCTAATCGAAATATTAGATGCCGGTAATCACGTTAATTAATTGTTATGTTGTTTGATTACGCAAAAATAGAGTAAACAAAAAGGTGAACTGAATTACAACATCGATAACTACAAAGACACGAATAAAACAATATTCTTTCTTACGTTTTACATTGATTTGTTTTATCCATTTTAAAATTTCCAACTTTTGGAATATTTCTTTGTCACGGATGACAGAGGTCTCCAAATTTTGAATTGAAATTTTTATTTCTTAAAATGCATGAATGAGCCAGGATAGCTGGTGTTAAGTGGTCTGGGCCCATAGATAATAATAATGTAAATGTCGCCACGCACCTTGTGACGAAAGTTCTAAATCTCAGTTTTTCAGCAGCTGCCGCACCCTTCAAACCGAAACGCATTACTGCTTCACGGCCGAAATAGGCAGGGCGGTGGTACCTACCCGAGCGGACTCACAAGACGTCCTACCACCGGTAAAATCGGTCATTCGAGCAGCCATCGCAAAAGTCTTCTTGGATTTTTTGTTAATTCGTTAAATAATCCAAAAACGATCAGATTCGCAAAATGGATAAAACAAACAAAAGAAACCTTGTTATTGTTTTAATCATGTATATACAGGCCGTGAGAGAAGACTATGTAATCAACGCGATCGAAACCTGATGGGAAACTCCGTTGACTTCTATAAATATGTTATTGAAGACGGCTATTAGAAGATTGACGAGTAATATGTTAGCGATGAGCAGATATACGCTCATGACGAGCGGGGGGACCCAGTGGCCGACCCTGCACTCCTCAAGGCCCGGAAGGCCACAAGGAGGCGCCATCTGCTCGGCGAATACTTCCCCATAGAGCATGAAGTACGGTTGGAAGAAAACCTGTAATTTGTTAGTAACACACGGAGAAAATTGTCTTTGAAAATCGTCGTAGCAATATTGAGTCTTTCTATTCTAATTAAGGAACAATGCTCAAGTTAAAAGTATCAAATTTTGTAAGTATATTGTGTTAAATTCCGAACGAGGCAGTCCATTTAAAATGGGGGGTAAATACTAAACATATGTATATTAGAGATCCTCTAATTGTTTTCTACCAATAAAACGATTGAATTCTTGGCAAAAACTTGATTTTAATTCAATCCTTATGGTTTCAAAGTAAATAAAAGATACACGTCTTCCGTCTCCCAAGTTACACCACGTCTGTCTACCGTCTCGTCGGGTAAGTACCCTCATTCCCCCTCTGACTTAAAAAAAATATATATATGTCAAACATGCATTCGCCGTCTCTCTCACTTTCTGCCACGACATCTCCTATCTCTCACACTCACTCATGCTCCATATCTGTCACTCATCCATAAAGTCTGTTCCTCATAAAATGGATATTTCAACCTTAAGGTATCGGCTATTCTGAAGATGTTACAAGAACGCGTCATCGCTAAGCTGACAACGTAAGCAAAATGGCAGAAGATGTAATACGTACAATTGAAAAACATATTATTAATGTATTACAGTACAATCAAATATGTAGTATTTTCCTCGTTATCGTGACTTGTAGACGTAATTAAAACCTACTTTGACGGTTTAAAAATGAGTTTTTTTTTTAAATTATTTTCATTATATCATTTATTTCCGACGTTTCGTGGTAAGTAAAAGATAGTTTCGTTTACAAAATGATTCAAATTTTGAAGTACCTATTTAAAGAACATAACGTAAATACAGAATACAGATATTTTTTTTAATGGCCATGAGCCATAGTCAGAATTGCAAATAATCGATTTCCTTTAACTTATCTCGACAAAAATAAACCGGATGTACGTACTTGTAGTAACGAACCCGGGTGAACTCACAATACGCCCTAGTACCCAATAGATTTTTTTTCCTACCTACGCTGATAGCCTTGAGAAGCTATCTCAGCTTCTCCTTGACGGGTAGGTGAGATCACAGGGCTCCAACTGGGAGTGTTAGTAACACTGGCCCTAGTAGGGGCAGTGCTTCGCAGAATCTACCACGGTACCGGAAACGCGACCCACTGAGAAGATCCCGCAAGAAACTCAGTGGGCTGTGTCTATGGGTTAATTTACTCGTCGAACCCTTCGTCGCCGGCGGCGGGTTCGACGAGGACGGTGACCGGTGCTTGAGGTACCTAAACGCACCGTTAATGGACCGGGAGGATCCGTAATGACGTGTCCCATCAGATACCACAATATACTGATAAAATATCCACACAGAGAAGCTGCATATTAGCACAACGTACCCAATAGATATTGTAGTATACTGATAAAATACCTGTACAGAGAAGCTGAATATTCTTCGATTGATACTTTTTGTTTTATTGCAACATTACATTATAATAGGTAAACGGCCAACCTGATTGTCACTGATTCTCATATACATCGGCAATGCCAAGGGCACAGGTGAGCCTTCCTTACTATCCTTTTACAACATCCACAGGAATTAATGAGGTTTTGACTATACCCCAAAATACCATTGTATTACTAACATTTTAATTTTAATTCTTTTATGTATTTACCAAAAAATTGTAAAGAATTCTTTGATTTCCAAAGTGCCCTACTGGTTTGTACAACTCAGGCAGATTATCATATTTCAAATGCAATTTTCAACTTTATTCTCAGGTCGGAGAGGATGCTAAAGTTACTTCAAACGCCGGTTAGATAGCGTCCAAAATTTAAAAAATCTAACGTGACAATTTTTGGCTTCTATCAAACAAACAACATATATAAACCCACCTCTCTGATTAGATGCCAACTAGCGTCCTTGTCTGGGTGGAGTATAGCTTGTCTGGCAACACCGAAAGACATTAATACCACTAGCAATAGCACCACGAAGTATATCATGTTCTTTACCATTTTACCCATCATTGTGACTAGGGGACCTACGGAGAGAAAAATCATTATCTACATACATAAAAATGAATTGCTGTTCGTTAGTCTCGCTAAAACTCAAGGATGGTCGGACCGATTTGGCTAATTTTGGTCTTGAATTTTTTGTAGAAGTCCAGAGAAGGTTTAAAAGGTGGATAATTATCAAAATACTCGGAATTAAATAAAAATAACTTTTTTTTTTCTTTGATGTGTCCCCGTCGGACGGATTCCTTTTGTTTCTTTTAAGTTTATTTTATACAAAAGTTTAGGTCTTTTATTTATCGATTGAGGCACTACGAAGTCTGCCGGGTCAGCTAGTCGTTATTATTTTTTACTTCAACAAATCCACGGGTAGTCTTTTATTTCAAATACGTCTGTACCCTCGTTAGATAATTCGGTAGCTCTGCCATTTTTTGTCAATCGCAACGCCTGACGTCATATGTGGTTAATACTGGCGTAAATCTATCCCAGCCTTAAATGAAGTTATAGGTAATAGTTAGAAACACATTTTTCTTTGCTTAGAAGGGAACTCCCAGTTTATTTAGTCTTAAGTGGTTATCGGAGCCCGTAGACATCAACAACGTGAATGCGGTCACCTTGAGTACGAATTCTAAGTCTCGGTTCCATAGAACGACGATTGCCTTTCAAACCAGTAAATAAAAGTCTTCTAAGCTTATGGAACTTTCAGACTTTATCATATTCAGGTTGAAATTTTCAGACTTTTTAATCACCCAGAACTTTTAATGAGTCCAACAAAAGGAAAATAACAAAAACTCAATATGATTAATAAAAATGTCTTTAGTTAATTCTAGTCTTACCTAAGTACTTATTGACACCCAATATATTCAAGATCCTTAGGTACCAATATATAATATCGACGCAGTATATCACTCTCCCTACGTCTCTTGAGATCTCTCTGAGTCTCAGCGTCAATCCCACTAAGAAGAATATTATAAAACCAGCGTCATACGTGTTCCACATGTTCCATGCCCACACACTGAACTTATGTCTGTGAACAATGAACAAAATTTAGATATATACATTTTTAAATCTAGCTTTGTCTAGTCATTTGCTGTTGACTATCATACTTTCCTGTAAGCGCCCAAAAGGCTAATTGAGTTGAGTCCCAAACAAAAAATAAGATTTACATTAGCAAATCTTGCAAAAATCTAGTAAAATAAAAGTAAAAGTTAATAAAGGTATGTAGTTTGGACAGCCCTGATCTAGTGCCTAGCCTAACCTAGTGCATATTAATTAATTAGCTATCTCTTCTCCTATATCGTTCCCTCACTGCTGAGGATCGCTACCACATGTGACGTTCTTCCACTGTGTTCGATCATGGGTGGCATAAACCGCATGGTACAGATTACCACCAAGTGCTTCCCTTACTAGATCTGACAAATGGCTGGTGTTATGCCCGCGGCGCGCTTGCCCTCAATGCGACCCGCAATTATGAGCTTCTCTAATTCATGTCTGGGAGACCGTATGATGTGTCCGAAGAAGCTCATAACACATTCCCGGCAGATGACAGAGAGCTTTTTTCGGATGTTTAGCTTAGAATGGACTCGTGAGTTCTCATGACAGTCTACGGTATTCGTAGCATCCTCCGCCACACCCAAATTTCAAAGGCATCGATCTTTTTGCTATCGCGGCTTTTCATACGCCATGTCTCAGCTATAGTTATAGCGAATCGTGACCGAAGTTAACTTGTTTATCACAAAATCACTTAACGTATTATAATATAATATAATTTCGAGTAAGTAACGTATAAAACGTAATACCAATCGTTCTGAATGACTTCCATGTCTCATTAAATTCTCATTCGCGAATATTTCCTGTAATTAACAAGTAGATAGCCTTACCTAATGGCAACAGGCTCGGATGTTACGATTTCTCTAATCTTCTCGCATAAGAAAGTTAATATATAACATATAGAATATATTTCCGGCCAAGAAGGTGTAGGATTCATCTTGACTAATACTGTGTATGTAAACATCAACAGGAACAATATGTAGGCTATCTGAAACAGAATAATGTAAGGCGATACTTTAGAATACAATAAAAAATTAGATTTCGTTCAACAATTGATTTTAATTTGTAAGATCTGTTGGAAACCTCACAAAATAGTATAAAACCTTTTTTATTGTTGTCGTTGTGGTTTTTGACATTACATTTGAATTTGAATTTTGGAATGTCTCAGTTTTGGTCATTCTCTTTTCATCCGTGCTATTGTACGCGATTTATAAAATTTCTAAATTATAAAAATTTTATACGTGCAATCCTCGCGAGTTTATTTATCAAGTTCCTTGCCCATCCTAATCATACAGTCCACTACAAGATCTAAGATCATAAAAAATAAACGGTAAGGTCACGATCCCAAACATAAAAACCTTAAAAGCTAATTCTTGTAAAGGCAGTTTTTGCAACGAGTAGGTTCTAGGTTCAGTTCTATTTTTATTTTGAAAAAATATGTTCATCTAATGAGAAACATGGCATCAATTTTGACGAGTGTTCGACTAATTAGCTCTCGGTAAATCTTTTGTTTACGACATTGGAGTTATTAATATTACCAAGCGATGACTCTTAAGCACCGATTGGGTAATTTGCATTCTCAAGATAATCCACCGAGAGATTTCTCGTCAAAATTCGCTTGTTCTCATGATATTACAACCCGGCTATTGTTTCATCAGCTAACCCGGATACGTGTGAAGAACGTAATGAAAAAGGACTGCGGCAGTAATTTATCGATTATCACTTAGAAAGTATTACATTGACAGTGATTTATTATTTGTAGCAATGTTTACGATTTCGTTACGACAACACGATTTAGGTTTTCCGATCAATCCGTCACGATTTGTTTTAAATTTGTTATTCGATTTTCGGATTTTATATTCATTGTTTTAAGATTTACTCAGGGGGAAGTTTAGTGTTTTCGATTCATATTTATATACGTGGATGTCCACGTATATAAATATGAATATGAAATATAAAATAAGTTATCAAAGATCCTAATAATATTTATTGCCTTTCTGCAAATCGCTTTTAGTAAAACATAAACTAAAGTTATACATTCCGATTTTGGAAACTGCACAAATATGATGTACATCATCGTTGGTCGGTGCGCCATTTTAGTTCGTGCTATGATTGCGAGTTCCATTTACCATAGTAATATAATTGAAATGGAAATAACTATTGTATTCCATCATTTGACCAGTATTATACAATTAACTGTCGTAAATATCAATTATGAATATATGACTTTAGAGCCTATATGTCAAGGTGGGTGGCGCATTTCCATTGTAGATGTCTATGGGCTCCAGTAACCACTTAACACCAGGTGGGCTGTGAGCTCGTCCACCCATCAAAGCAATAAAAAAAATGCAATATGAAACGTTAAAAGAAAACATAAAATATTTTTATGAGCATCTTTATAAAATTAGATTCTATTTTCATCATTCCTTTGCATAGCTTCTTGGTAATGGACAAAGATAAATAAAATTTTAAATTTGTGATCCCTCAAAGAACGCGAGGCTTCAAGATTTACATTTGCATAATTTAATTTATGTAACGATTTTTTTATTAAACATTTATTAATTAAAGATTTTTCTTTAACTACTTTTAGTCTGCTTATTATTATAATGTATAATTTTACGTTCGTGAATAACTCAAGATTTACGTTTGTGATAAAGTACACTAAGTGATGAGATATCAGTGAGATAATTAGACAAAACAACAACAAACTCACCGAATCGGCCCAAAATTTAGTGATCGGTGCCGTAAAGAACTCATAGATCTTCTTCCTCAGTCGCAGGGGCCTCATACGTTTAATTTCAGATGGGTGGTACTCTGGCAGCTCTCTGTACGATGGTTCCCATCCTACTTTACCAACTTTCCCGTTCTGATCGACCCGGGTCTCGCATTCCCCTGAGCCAATCAACGCCTGCTTGAGTCCAGAAAAATCGGTATAAAAATTACAGCGACACAACTACGACTATTAACAAAACAAAAAAACAAAACATCACGTCAAATATAAAAATAGTTCATAGATAAATCAGTGGCAGTATAGCTGTTAGGAGTTATTGTTGAAGATCTCCACGTAGATGGTACGCTGGTTCTGCGAGCTGATTTTAAAGAGGATGCATGGCGATAAGCGCAACACACGCTGCATTTCTTATAGGAACTACATTACAATGATACGACAAAAGCTCTATAACAAATCTCGAAGAAGATACAGGTAATACAGACGTAAATAAAAGCATCAAAGTTGTTGTAAAATATAGGTTTTCGTTTATGGCTGCATTAAAAACATACGTAACATCAAACAGAAGTCGTAAACAAATCTAGCTAAGTAATAACATCGAAGGAAATTGAAAATATTATAAAGGTCACGTTTCGGTGGCTCTGTTTTTAGTTCACCGCGGTTTTAGTAATGAATTCACTTAAAACTTCAATATTTATGGAAAAACTACATAAAGCAAATTTTTTATAATAATATTCAATTGTATGTTCAGTTGTATTAGGAAGAAATTCGTATGTTTGGAGGTGAAATTCCGGGTGAGCTATAAACAGGCGAATCGGCCGATAAAGTCGAGCGCAAAGACACTAAAGGGGTGAAGGAAGGACCTTGAAGTGTACGGAGCGTCACGTATATTCACGTGACGCTTGCTTTTAGAGAAACAACAGCCTTTGGCGAGTGCAAGTGTAATACGAACACAACATAAATATTGATAAAATACTCGAGTCCACGAAACTAGTTTTACATTTGAATTACGAACATAGTACTTGAACATTGTTACTTTGTAACAAAACTAGCGACCCGCCCTCGTTTCGCTTCGGAAACTGTAATTTATTTATTGATTTCCACTATTTAATGGATGTTATTATACATATAAACCTTCCTCTTCAATCACTCTATCTATTAAAAAAAACCGCATTAAAATCCGTTGCGTAGTTTTAAAGATTTAACCATACATAGGGATATAGGGACAGAGAAAGCGACTTTGTTTTATACTATGTAGTAATAGTTAGTGCATTTTTTTTAATGTCGTACATTGAGCGCCAACAGGCCATGCTCAATACTATGTATAATTCTATTCGAAAAAGAAAATCGGATGTAATATATAATTTTTCTTTGTCGATAACATTCTTGACGTTACAATATTTTAGTGCAGTATTTTCTGCGGTAACGAACTGTGCTAGAGATTATTCAAAAACCCATTTCCATGATTTTATCTATCTGAATATATAAATTATCTTGTTGATTTAAATAAATAACTCAGTTGAAAACTTTTTATGGACGTTTCCTTGATCTGGTCAACCATTGCTTTTTTGTGTGATTTTATTTTGTATGTCTTGTGCAAACACAAAGTGCGGGAAGCTCTACCGTGTTCAAACGTGTTCGTATTACATTGTACCAACGAGGAAGGACTGCGAGTCCCGACTACCTTAGTTATGTTTTGCTCTCCCGGTGGCATGATCTTCTTGATAGAAAGGGTACGCCGTTTGACAACTCCCACCTAGCGCACGCAATAACAAAATTGACTTTCTATAAAGAACTATTCATTTGCGCCTATTTTATTTCCGTTCATCGCTTTCACACTCCCATTATCTATTGACTTTGTTTGAATAAAAGCATGTTTGTAAATGGACTGCGTAATCTTTTGTCCAACATTGTAATGACATTGGATGACTAATACACATTTGATTCCCTTTGATCAATAATGCAGGTTAAGGTAAAATACGGTATCTCTACTAGAAAGGTTTATTTAAAAATGTGAGCGATTTGGATTACCTTTATAGGTCTACTATTCTTTTTTATAATGAAGTTTGGCAAAATTGGTTTTGGTAAACCAATTGAGATTTTGGTTTCGGCATTTTAGTATCCTTTGAATCAAACTAAAATTTATTTTTGCAGTGGAGATATGTAATGGCAATACTATTTGTTTACAAGACAGTGGTACTAAGCGAAGATGGTGGGTAATGGATCGCAAATTACCTCGGCATCTGTCGGATCCTTGGTGCTCCTATCATCCTCGATGCTCTCGTTCTCTAGATGCTCTTCTTCCGTCTGCGGCATCAGCTGAAGTTCCTCTTTGGACTTGAACTCCAATCTCAGAATGTACAGCGGACACAGCAGGCTCAGAATTACCTTGACATGACCACAAAGCCGATGTGGCGAACGAAATGCTCGAACCATGGCAACTATTTGTTCAAAAGCGCATGCTAGGTTCATCGGGAGATTTCGACGCCGATTATGCATAGATAGACAGTTATATGTATTCAATTTTTTTATAATAAAACGATGAGTATGTCTATGAGTCCTGACTGGAATCTATTTAGATTCGAGTTATTGTCCCTTATATACCATAATCGGCGTCATGCGGAATGTACATGCGAAAAATTGATAGTTAAAGCGACTCATTGACACACGGACATCGACACGTGTTGTAGTTATGATCTAAAGTTAAAATCTAACATTGATGTCTACTATATACGTGCCTAGGAACGTCAGAAATAAGGAATCTCACATTTTCATAGTCTTTAGTTTGTTTTTTTACTAGTTTCTACTTCAAAATTATTAAAGTACATACAATGACGATATCCTTATTCCATCAATCATAAATCGTGCTTAGATAAATCTGTGCGTTAATTAGGAAAAAATAAAAGAGGTTGGTTCTCTACGGAATACCATCGAGGGTATACCTTGAGATTGGTGTTCTTTCTCGTTCTAAGTCCACCCATCCATAAGTCGGCTAAGATTATTTGTGAGCACGGATGAGCGAGTAGCGCACGATGGTTCGCGGTCACGGCTAAACTGAGACAGGTCTGACCGGACCAGTTCTGGAGCTCGCACGTGAGGAGTTGCTGGGCCTGATCATCATCTTGGCGGTAGCAGTAATCTAGAAGCTCCAAAGCTGAAAATGTTATCATATTTATAACATCACGCTAAGACCACTGCAAGCGGAGCACCAATAAAGAATGTTTCAAAATCGTTTTTTTTCCCTTTTGAGAGCTTCCATTGAAACGGTTAAAGTTTCGCTAAAATAATATATGACAGAATTGTTCCCCAATAAAAGATCTAAAAAAAAGTCTGCGACAGCATATGTCTATATGTTAAGGTTGGCTCTCTATAACGTTTTTTATGCTAACCAAATTTGTTCTAAAATAAAGCATTATTTGTGAAGGTGTTTTTATAAAGATGTTATTGTACGTAAATGAAGAGGCGGGTAAAATTTAGCGTTATGCCAAACTAACTATTTCACGCGGACGAAGTCGTGGGCAAAAGCTAGTATATATATAAAGAAGTTTATTTATCGAATATTCAGTACATTAGTTTCACACACCAGACACGGTCATAAGAGTACATAGAGTACACAGTCTTATTAAGATGAAAATCTTTCAACACGAGTTGGAAGAAGTGAATCTAATTCAATCTAAAGTTAAAACAATCGCTTTAGATTTGTACGAAGTTCCGAAGACAGCTCTCCGTCTCTTCAAGTTTCCGTGGCTGCGAGTTAAATAGATTCGGCTTACGATAACTCGTGTTTTGTTTAGGGCCGCCAATTCCCTCTTGTAGGCAATTGGCAGTTTTATTATTCACAATTATGGAGGGTAGAGGTAAGGAGAACCGTTAGGGGGGAAGCTTGAAAAAGTGTCTCACTTTCAGTACTAAATAACAGTTCAAAAATCCTCCAGAATAGCGCTAGCATAGGCACAGGGTATGATATGAATTAAGCAGTTGTTAACTGATTGAAGTAATGCTGATTTAAGATACTTTTTTTTATTTTTTTTTATTGCTTAGATGGGTGGACGAGCTCACAGCCCACCTGGTGTTAAGTGGTTACTGGAGCCCATAGACATCCACAACGTAAATGCGCCACCCAACTTGAGATATAAGTTCTAAGGTCTCAAGTAAGTTACAACGGCTGCCCCACCCTTCAAACCGAAACGCATTACTGCTTCACGGCAGATATAGGCAGGGTGGTGGTACCCACCCGCGCGGACTCACAAGAGGTCCTACCACCAGTTTTTTATATTTAATGACTAGAGTAGTTAGTGACAGTGTTATATACAAGACCTCACATGTTTACGTAGTCCAAACTAATTTCGTCAATATAACCTAAAATTATTGCTGTGGTAAAACGTGGAGACATCGATTGCATTTTCTTATCAGCTTTAAATAAAATACTTTATGTAATGTTGTAGTGCTTACAGTTCTTTCGTCTTTTTTTTTATTTCTCTATCTTATTCTAATAACTTTCAGCGCCTTTTTTAAAATGTACCCGGTTGCTACTGTAGCGCCACCCTTATTTAGCAGATTTTAACGGACACTTTTCACACAGAGACGGCTCTTCTTACCTCTGCCCTCCATATTCACAATTAACGTGCAAGCTGTGACGTCATATGACAGTCACGCATCCCATGCCGGTTCCTACAACGACAGCCCGCTAATGGCTAATTACAATATACTAGTGCTCCCTCAGTAGCCGAAATTCAACTATAATTAATTGAAATTATAAGTTAGATTTCGCCAAGACTAGATTATGGACAAATAATAATAAAGTCAATCAATATTAATCTATTCTCAATTTGACCACAGACTTTAACAATAAACAAAAGAGTATAAATGCGTATGCGTGTCAATTAGAAGGTAGTGTGTAATGTTTTTTTATTGATTTAATGTACCTATTTTTTATGCATAACTTAGCATATTAGCATTCTACACTCCTTCTCTACATTCTCTATAAGTGTGGGAAATTTAATACTCCTCCGTCCGCGCAATTTTCGTAAAAAGGGGTACAAAGTTTTTGCTTCACGTATTAATAGATTACTAAGTCAGAGATGTTATACTAACATGCTAAGCTTAGCCACATCTGACGTAGTGCCTCGTCATTAGCGTTAAGTGTTTGAAATTATTCAATAATATATAGGGATTGCGTGATTGATCATTAAAATTGATTTATGATCAATAAACTTGAATACTTTTGAAGTTAATCATTATCTCAAAACAAATCGAAATCTAAAAATTAGCGATTATTATAAGTGAGGTTTTCCATGGCCAGCGGAAAGGTTCTAAGGCCGCTCGTGTAAATATCAGTATCCCTCCCGGCGCGCACTGCTGTACCGTAAGTTTCGTGTAGTCGGTGTGGTGGAGCTCGATGGGGCTTAGTCGGTAGTCGATTCTGCGGGGCAAGTGCCTTGCGCTCCTTTTTCAAGGCGTAGTCTCCTGTGAGAAATTGGGGGAGGTTTATCTCACCACTGCCCTGTCTCACCCCTGCCCTATGTGGCAGGGAGTTTCTGCCCGTGTAGTGGGGTTCGCCCCGAAGCCCGCTCCGTGGTCCCCTAGGGGGTACGACGACCCGCAAATGAAATGGGGGAGGTGGAGGACCTCGGTCGTTCTCTTCTCCCCTCTTCCTCTCAGGAGACGCCGGAGTCCGACATAATCCGGTCCGTTACCCCCCTCGACCGGGTATCCGTAAATGCCCAGTTTAAAAAAAAGGGTCAATCGCGTAGCAGTCTATCATACGTTTCGGTTTAAATGGTTTGTTGATATAATTGTAACACTACCCAATGCCTCAATTTTGGTGACGATATTCATGTTGTGATGACCATTCATAACTAAATAGGCTGTCTAGCTATGCAGTAGAAATCAAGGTTAACTGAATTTTAGCGGAGGAACTAGACCACCTTTTCAGTGAGGTTAAATCTCCTCCCAAGTAGTACATATACAATATATAAAAAAAAAGAATTTTAATATTAATGAAATCAAAATTACATGTTGCTTGTTTTTCTGCAAAACTTTGCATTTTTAAAATTTATGCAACTAAAATAAAATGCGTCCTATAATTATTTAGACTACTGGCGACCCGCCCTGGCTTCGCTTCGAGAACTGCAATTTATTATTGATTATGAAAATGAGATGGCAGTTTTTTTCCTATTTACTTGACACCAATCTTTAAATTTTGGTTCACACAGTATCTTTATAAATTATAAGCCTATGTTTCATTCTGATGTGTCGGCTATATTATTGTAAAGTTCCATTAAAATCCATTAATTAGTTTTTGCGTCAAAGACTAACAAACATACATACATACATTCTTACAAATTTTAGCGTTTATAATATTAGTAGGATAGTAAGATTTAATATTATATAACAGTACAGACCCGAAACCCGATATTTTGAAAATATTATTTAGGTGGCAACCCTAGTTTTACTGTTACTTTTAATTATCTAGATTAAGTTGTCAACGTAAACAAAGCTTTTTGTTGTTGATTGTCAAAAGTGATAATGATATCTCAGTGGTGTTAATGTAAATGAGAGTTCGGTAGATAACTGGACGGTTTTATCCAACTGTTACCATGAAAACAATTTAAAATAAAATGAAGGCTTTATTTTGAGTGATTGAAATAATAATTTTATTTTGACATACAAGATTATCTAACTGTCTACTGTAAAAAAACAAAACGAATTGTAGATGAAACTTGAAGAATAAACGCTTTAAGCCTCTCTTGGATTATTGCATTGTTATTTGATATTTTTATCTTTATGCGTTTCGGTTTGAAGGGTGGGGCAGCCGTTGTGACTATACTGAGACCTTAGAACTTATATCTCAAGGTGGGTGGCGCATTTACGTTGTAGATATCTATGGGCTCCAGTAACCACTTAACACCAGGTGGGCTGTGAGATCGTCCACCCATCTAAGCAATAAAAAAAAACTCTTGTATAGCTGTAATATTTGTTTTTGTTGTCGATGGTGATTTCATGGGTAGCTTATTTTCATGTTCAGTTCATTTTCTATGTCCAGTAAAAGAGCTTCCGCAAAAGCTCCAGGACTAGACATGAATATCACCAAGGTACTTCAAACATGAAGATCTCAATTATATTGTATTATGGTTCTTAGCTCCTTCAAATCAGACCCAAATGCTCGACTGCTTCGCGCCAGATCTAGCCAGGGTGATGCTACCCGCCCATGCGAGTTTACTACAGGCTGTTCTATCAATAGTTCCGCAAATTTTGGGTGATTTTAAGTCGTCGTGGCCTAAAAGATAAGACGTCCGGTGCATTCGTTTCGAACGATGCACCGGTGTTCGAATCCCGCAGGCGGGTACCAATTTTTCTAATGAAATACGTACTTATCAATTGTTCACGATTGACTTCCACGGTGAAGGAATAACATCGTGCAATAAAAATCGAACCCACAAAATTTTAATTTGCGTAATTACTGGCGGCAGGACCTCTTGTGAGACCGCACGTGTAGATACCACTACCCTGCTTATTTCTGCCGTGAAGCAGTAGCGTTTCGGTTTGAAGGGTGGAGCAGGCGTTGTAACTATACTGCGAACATAGAACTCATATCTCAAGGTGGATGGCGGCATTTAAATTTTAGATGTTTGTGAGCCCCGGTAACCACTTAACATCAGGTGGGCTATGAGCTGGTCCACACATGTATGCAATAAAAAAATAATAACCAAATTAGTGAGCTACTAAAAGTTGTTTTGATGAATCGATAACTTATCTTACCCTTATTCTCAAATTCTTTTCCGTAGTGCCTTAGCTCTTCGTAAACTTCAGTCTCCATATCATCCTCGGCTGCCTCGTGGGCCATGGCCTTGTACAGCTTGCATGCTATTAGTGATTTCGCAAGCGACTCCTCGCCATGTGTCCACATGAGGAGTGCCATTTGATGTCTCTTCGTTAAGACTGCCCACATCTAAAAGACCCAAAGGAGTTTGATTCCTACTATTGGATTGTAAATGTAAATTGAATAACTCTGTGACTATACTGTTGTAACCATACTGAGACCTTGGAACTCATATCTCAAGGTGGGTAGCGGCATTTACGTTGTAGATGACTATGGGCTACGGTAGCCACTTAACAAGAGATGGGTTGTGAGCTCGTCCACCTACCTATCTATGCTAAAAAAAAAAAAAAAAAAGAGAGAGAGGGAGAGTATTCTTTATTGCACACTAACTAACAAAAGAAATAATGCGAAACATTAAATACAAAAAAAGTACAATTGGCGGTCTCATCACTAAGAGCGATCTTTATCGCTAAGAGCGACCTCTAAAGACTACATGAAATATCATTTGAAAAGGGGATATAAGTAAAAAAAGATTTTATGAATAGGAAATTGAAAAATTATCTTAGGTTTATTTTGTTTTGACCAGAAAAATTACGAAGGTAAGTTTACAAAATACTTTCGCCAAAGAATGAGTCTTTACTAAGTAATTATTTATCAAAGTGACACTATTCATGCAAATAAGCAATATTATGCAAATCGTACAAGTGTTTTTGAATTCAGTGAAATTATTAGTACTCACCAAAAGCTCGTTGAAAGGATAATCGAAAAGCGCCATTTCACTGGTGACCGGCATGAAGCCGGTGATGAGCGACAGGCCTCCAGCGTTGTGCCTGGTGAAGGACGCACTGTTGCGATGTACATTGACGCTTTTGTTCATCACCTTTGCGTAGATCGGTCGAAACTTCCGACGTGTGTAGTAGCACCTGTGATATATGAACTATCTAATAACTGGTATTTAAGAGTAACGCTGGGTTTTGATACTGAAAATTGTTTTTGTGTGGATTTTACACATGATTTGATAACTATGATGATGCTGTCTTTGGTTTGTTTATAGATATTGTTACGCCGGTAAGAGTAACGCCATTATCGCCGAATAGTCGAACGAGTATCGAAGGATCTAGTAGCACCTAGAACGCTCGAGAAGTACAACGCCATCTATTGTCAGATAGGGGAAACACAATACTCGAAATGTGTGGAATATTCTCGATAATTCTAGGGATGTGGTATCGGCTATAAAAGCGTTGCAGAGATGGCACGCAGTCAGTTGGTAATCTGAACTACTCGAAATTGAAACAGTGAACGGATCACCTGGACCGAAGCGGAAGAAGCGAATTGAGCATTTTAAAGTGTTTGTGGAGTATTTTAAGTGTTCTAAGTGCTAATACAGAGGTAGCTTGTAATTCGGTAACAATATGCTCACGTACAACATGTTATTATGTAATTAGAAAAACTTCTAAAACTGCAACGTTAATTCCCAACCAGCCTCAGAAGTTCAAAAGTGGAAGACCCTCTTAGCAGTCTCACTTGTATTGAAATTTGCTCTACAGTAATTTGAGAGGAGGCGAGGATCGTGGCGTGGCGAGCAATTGTTGATGCCTACGTCCAGCAGTGGACTGCTATAGGCTGATGACGAAGAATTTGAACTACTTAATTTATTTAATTTATTACCAACAAAGTACTTTACCTATAAGCACCTCCAATGAGTTTGTTGATCACCAAACCGATGTCATGAAGCGTGTACACGTAGCCTTTGGGCAGATGAGGCCTCACGTCCCTTAAGATGTACCTCAAGGTGTTACTAGGCCCGCTCTTCGTGTTGTAAAGTTCTTCAAGTCTAGGAATCGTGAGGAATTTCCTCATGGACACGCCGTTCTCGAGGAGAAGCTTAACGAAGTCAATCCTATCGTGCTCCAGTGCTTGCATCATGGCTTCGTCTAGGGCGCCTGTTTAATAAATTTAAATACATTCATTTGCAGTTTTGTGGAAAAATCGATAACAATCATTACGATTCCGAATTTTAACAACCTTGAACCTACCACGTGATGGTTCCGTGGATTATAAAGACAAGTTAGCTAAGCTCATAATATCGAGGAACCCGAAATACGTGAGATGTTTTATTCAGGAGCCTTCGGTGCTATTATGTCACTTATTTCGTACGTGATCAGTACAGAACTAAAATGACAGCTATATGAGGGTTACAATGTTAAAATGTTTAGGCACTAAGTGGCAGGTCCCGTCAATTGGATGAAGTTATGACTTTGCATGAACGCTGCGAAAGTTAAGAGGATTGGAAGTGTTAGAAGTGTTATTAAAATGTGCATACAAGCCCAGTGTGTCTCTGTGGGTGTCACAGACTCTCGTGGATGTCATAAAGTATTCACTGCGGACAGAACACACAAAAATCTTCTTATTGTCAGAGTTCTATTCTAGCACGCTACGATCGCAGTTAGATATTGGTTTTACGGCTTATCGTGAATCAGCGCAATAAGTATGGATATTCTGCGGCGAAACGGCGATCGTTCTGGTTTGAAGGGCGCGATGGCATTCACGTTCTACCACTTATATGCCCAAAGCATGATAAGATGGCAAAGGCATAGATTGCTTTAAATGAAAATCCTTATACATGTTTTATAGATTTATCAACTAAATAATATATCCTTAAGATTCTTCCACAAGTTACATCCGAGAATATTCACCACCTGATGCTCACATTTATATACTACTCTAAAGAAACACACGAGATTATATTTTGTTTATAAACGCATTTAGAATACGTGGAGGTGAAAAGTCGAAGACTGGATCGGTGGCTTGTCTGGATTTTTTATTTATTGCTTAGATGGATGGACAAGCTTACAGCCCACCTAGTGTTAAGTGGTTACTGGAGCCCATAGACATCTACAACGTAAATGCGCCACCCACCTTGAGATATAAGTTCTAAGGTCTCAAGTATAGTTACAACGGCTGCGCCACCCTTCGAACCGAAACGCATTACTGCTTCACGGCAGAAATAAGCAGGGCGGTGGTACTTACCCGCGCGGACTCATGAGAGGTCCTACCACCAGTTTAATTTATTTGAGCATAGATGAGTAGCAGCGGCCACTATCAAGTGGCTACTGGACGTCATAAAATGCAGCAGAGTGGTGTGGAGTCGAGTGGAGTGGAGCATTTCAGTAATTGAGACATAAATATTGCATTTTACATAAACTCCATAATAGAGGCAACATTTTAAAGGGAACAAGTCTTAACTATATTATAAAACGGCCATCTTCCCATACATGATTCGTGATCGAACTTGGATGGTGATACTGGTAAGCGGCAGGATGGTGTTACTGCCGTACTGACTACGTCAGACTCAGACCCACAACAGGCCTTGGTAGGACCTCTTGTGATTGTACTGGTGGTATTTAAAAGGTAAATAAATATCAAAATGCCTTTGATGTATCCCCCGTCGGACGGATTCCTTTTGTTTGTTTTAAGTTTATTTTATACAAAAGCTTAGGTCTTTTATTTATCGATTGAGGCACTACGAAGTCTGCCGGGTCAGCTATTCTTTAATAAAACGCAGAATTCCCAATACAAATAGCTTCTCGTATGTTCCAGTTAAATTACAATGCAGACGATCGACCTCGTCTCGGCACGGCACTTCCGACGTCCCATTACCCTTAACTAAGGACATCAAAATTTAAATTAACTTGGAGCGTCGTGATGAAAAGTGTAGAGTTTTGAGTGACGGACAAATTAGTAGGGGTAGCTGGTTTCAGTAGACGGTAGTAATGTGAGAAGGGGACGTCCTAAAAGACTATTTACTGGTGGTAGGACCTCTTGTGAGTCCGCACGGGTAGGTACCACCACCCCGCCTGTTTCTGCCGTGAAGCAGTAATGCGGTTCGGTTTAAAGGGGGGGCGTCCTTTGTAACTATACTGAGACCTTAGAACTTATATCTCAAGGTGCGTGGTATGGGCTCCAGGAACCACTTAACATCAGGTGGGCTGTGAGTTCGTCCACCCATTTAAGCAATAAAAAAACTTGTTGGTACACAGTCCAAGAAGATATGCCTAAATGGCCTAAATGGAAGAAGAAAGCATGCTGCGTTGGCCTCACTTAGTTAGAATAAGGGCAAGACGATGCTAGTTTTAGGGATTATTCAGGTTAATGTTAATGAAGCAATAATTAAAGTGTTTAAAAAAAATCGGTTGTCTGTAAAATCGGTTTACTGACGATAGTTGAACGTGACAACGTCATAAGAAAATACTGATGGAATGGTTTCATTTTTCAATTATCACAATTATCGTTGCTATAAACAATTGACACCACATTTACTTTTCCTTGAACGTCATACTTGACGAAAACATGTAAATGTATTATTGTATAGCAGCTGTCCACGCGGATGCATCGCCCACTCAAGTAGGAGAGAGACAGATGTCGAACGCTGCCGAACGCGGAGATCGATTGTGCCTCTTTGTCGCTCGTTGCGCGCTCTCTCTTGCACTTCAAGCCTTAAATGAAACGCCTCAGAGCGAAGTAACGCCGCATGAGTCGCGAATTATAAGACGTGGTCACGTCAAAAATGACCAGGATGCTGGTGTTTTATTTATTTTTTATTGCATCGATAGGTGGACGAGCTCACAGCCCACCTTGGTACAAGGTAAATGCCTCCACCGACCTTGAGATATGAGCTCTCTACAAGAAAAATACAAATTGAATTTTTCAATATGATATATTTTTTGTGTAGCTAAGACAGCTAAACGAGCTCCTGGCCCACCTGATGTTAAGCGGTTACCGGAGCCCATAGACATCAGCAAGGTTAACGCCGTCACGTACCTTGCGACACGAGTTCTCAAAGAGACGTAGTCAATTCTCTAGGACTACTTCTCCCTCGCCCTCCCTACCTCTCCCTCCTTTTATACGACTAATCATAATAAAACAGTAGCTTCAGGTCAGAAATAGAGAGGGTGGTGAAATCTACCCATGCAAGATCACAAGGGGCTTTCCATTAATTAGATTGTATAAATAATTATAAGAAACAACCTCGAAAGATTTCTCCTAGAGAATTTTCTTACAGAGATTTCCCTTCCTAAGAGCTATTTCAATTTGTTATTTATTAGCACAAGTAATAAGTTTATAATTGAAACTGGTTTAAGATGTTTTCTTCGTGAAACGGTTCTCGGATTTTGGGATTTGTGTTCGATTTCAAATGATTCCATGAAATGCTAAAACGTTCATAATTAATAGATAGTCTTTCCGATGATAAGGGTGTAGCGGAGTAGTCATTGGGCAACGCGTCATTGATTATTTCATTATACTGTCAACAAAAAGTATGTGAAGCGATTCACGTCTCGTAAAACATTTACAAATCTCTAGCATATCAAATCAAATAAAAAAAATTTATTCAACATAAATGAAAGTACATACTTGTTGAACGTCAAAAAGAACTACCGCCAATTCACAAAAACTAGCCTCCGTCCTAAGAAGAATTGGCAAGAAACTCAGCGGGCATGTCTTTTTTTTTTTAAATATTAGATAAAAAAAATCAATATTAGGTTTTTTTTAAATATTCATTTTTACAATGAGTATTATAACGTAATAATTATTGCAATATTGAAATGCTAGGAGCGAGCAACTGTGCATTCTTCTAGAGAATCATTGACTTTATAGTAAGCTTTATTGCACATTTATTTATATATCATAATTATTTTGTTCTGGGAAAACGAGACTGATTCAGCCAATGTTACAATTGATACATTATATTTTGGAAGTGTTCCTTTAAAGATTCCTATTGATGTAACAATAGTAAAAAACACATTTTTCTTTCATCGCCGAATCAATTTTATTGATTTTAAATGTTGTCAATAAACTGTTGCACGTTTGTATGATTATTAAAAAAAATACTGACGGTATCTTGAATTTTATTGCGACAAACGATTCCATTCCATACAAATATGAGTTAACTTTTACGCTATCCAGAACGTTAAAAAACTCGCACGAAGCACACTGGGGCTACTAAATCTCAACATACATATCACGTCCATATTTTAACTCTAAAAGTATGTTTTACAATTTTCTTAGCCAGTTAAGCTATTTTGAATTCTAAATGACATAACGTAAAGTATGAAATTACCTTGGTAATAATTGAATATGCAATTTCGAAAAGGGTACATCTCTGAAAATTTAAAATGTTCAGGAAATGAAAAAAAAAGATAATTTTCTAAAGCAGTGTAAAATTTAAAATATTAACTTTTGAGATATATTTTAGTGTTAATTAGCAATTGAAAACTACTGGAATTATTATAAAATGGGTGTAGGTAAGCTTAAAAAACTACATGTATATGAAAAAACGTATTTGAGAAAATATGCGACATGTGCCCTTTTCGAAATTGCATATCCAATTGTAATCTATATATTAATACGTGAAGCAAAAACTTTGTATCCCTTTTTAAGAAAATTGCGCGGACGGAGGAGTATGAAATTTTACACACTTGTAGAGAATATAGAGAAGAAGTGCGCAATGCAAATTTTTTTTTTAAATAATGCATAAAAGATACATTAAATCAATAAAGAAAACATTACACACACTATATACCATGTATTTAACGCACACACGCATGCATACTATTTATTGTCAAACTTTTGTTCTTGACGTCTGTTGTCAAATTGAGAATAGATGAAATATTGTTTGTCTTTATTAATATTTTTTATAGTGTAGCCTTGGCGAAATTTGTGATTATAGAAGTATAAAATACAATCATAATAGTGTACAAACTTACAATTCCAATTAATTATAATTATAGTCGAATTTCGACTATTGCGGGACCTCTAATAGTAAACAATTGTATTGTATCGACAGGTTCGTGGCGAGTAATTGTTAGCATAGCATCAGTAGAGGGAGGGAAAAGCAAACACGAGGTAAATTGAGTGGGCAGCCTTTTGGTCGCGGCCGGCCAGGGACCCACCTCCGTTAGCTTACCTGTTGATTTTAAATGTACCTTTTGGGGTTGCCGTAATAATTAAAGCAATTTTCTTTTTTGCTTTTTTATTACATAGATGAGTAAACAGGGTCACGGTTCAGCGTCGATTCAGTAGCTATTTTTAATGCTTAAATGTGTGAAAGAGCTCACGGCCCACCTGATTTTAAGTGGTTACTGGAGCCCATAGACATCTACAACGTAAATACCTCCACCTACCTGGAGGTATAAGTTATAAGGTCTCAGTTTTTACAGTACAACGGCTGCCCCAGCCTTCAAACCGAAACGCATTACTGCTTCACGGCAGAAATAGGCAGCGTGGTATCTACCCACGCGGACTCACAAAACGCCCTACCACCAGTAATTACGCAAATTATAATTTTATGGGTTTGATTTTTTAATTCACGATGTTATTCCTTCACCGTGGAAGTCAATCGTGAACATTTGTTAAGTACGTATTTCATTAGAAAAATTGGTACCCGCTTGGGATCCGAACACCGTTGCATCGCTCAACACGAATGCACCGGACGTCATATCCTTTAGGTCATGACGACTTCGAATATTGTTTGTCTTTAATAATATTTGGCTATTGTGTAGCCTTGAGGAAATCAGTGATTAAAGTAGTAAAATAGTTTTTGACAATAGAACCAATAAGAATATGTTCAAACTTATAATTTCAATAATTATAGTCGAATTTGACTACTGGGGGAGCACCAGTATCGTCTAAGTACGTGTTTTATAAGAAAAATTGGCACCTGCCTGTGGGATTTTATTTGAAATGAGATTTCGTCGCATAGCCTTATGCGAGTAGGTACACCGGCCGTCTTATCCTTTAGTTGACTATAGACCGCATTGACTACAGACCTACGCTAAATCTAAACTTTGAAATATATATAACTTTTTTAAACATAAGGCAGTAGACTACGAATTTAAATACTCAAATAAGTAATTAAAATTAGGTTAGGACATTTACTTAAATGAAGTTACGAAGAAGAAGAAGAGATCAATTGTATCATAATCTATATATGTATATAAAAATGAATTGCTGTTCGTTAGTCTCGCCAAAACTCGATTTGGCTAATTTTGGTCTTGAATTATTTGTGGAATTTCAGGGAAGATTTAAAAGGTAGATAATTAAGAAAATGCTCGGAATTAAATAAAAATAACAATTTTGTTTTCCTTTTGACGTGTCCCCCGTCGGACGGATTCCTTTTGTTTGTTTTAAGTTTATTTTATACAAAAGTTTGGGTTTTTTATTTATCGATTGAGGCACTACGAAGTCTGCCGGGTCAACTAGTAAGAAATATATATTAATTAGTATCCTCTATGCGACGGCATCAAACTAGCGTTATTTAGAAATACATATTTTAGTTTTTTTTTTCCTTCCTATTCTAGTAACCTTGAGGGATTATAATAGATTCGCAGAACGAGTATATGAACTTATGGGGCTCTAACCTGAGGACGTTGCTAACACTAGCCCTAGTAAGAGCAGTGCTTCGCAGAATCTACACTGCCTTTTATAATCAGTTGGTACAGGGTTTAACACGTTTAAGCCTTTAATCCCTGCAGCGAATTTTTTTTAACATGTTTAAGGCAATAATCTCAGCAGCGAAATTCAGGATCATCAATTCAATGAATCTGTCTTATTATTTTTTTGTTTGTACTATATGTTTGTAGAAAATAACTATACTCGAGACCTTAGAACTTATATCTCAAGGTGGGTGGCGCATTTACGTCGTAGATGTGTATGGGCTCCAGTAACCACTTAACACCAGGTGGGATGTGATCTCGTCCACCGATCTAAGCAATAAAAAAACTTAACACCAGGTGGGATGTGAGCTCGTCCACCCATCTAAGCAATAAAAACTAAAAATAAAAAAGTAATAATTTTGAAGTTTATTCTCGGGTTAGGTTCACAGTTTTCGTGGTAGCGGACCTTTTCTCCCCTACATATTCGTTGGTAGCCTAAGGGGCTATTTCAGCGACGCTGGGACGAGCAGGTGAGCTCACGGGCTCAACGTGAGAGAGTTTGCTAACACTAGCGTAGCGGACCGCTAAGCTTATATTTGTTCTAGGTTTTGCGTTTGACGTGAACTACGGCCGAACGTGAGCCAATGCGCAAACAAAACTGAATATATATGTCGAAGAATTATTAACACCATCGTCAGAAATTGTAGGGGCGAATAGAGTGATCGAGCTAAGAGAAACATTGAGTACACTAATCACGTTTGTTGTTTTAGGACAATTTAGAAATCTTCTCTTGACGTTAGCAAACGAAAACGAATGACAGTTTTTAGGACGGAGGCACCGCTCTTCAAAAAGGCTGGTTGATAAATGTGATGGCATCTACGCGCCTCCACCGGCTGTCGTAGCACGAAGTTAGCCGAGTTTTGACGATTTGCAGTACGTTACAATATGTTCAGTTCTCACGATTTCTTCGACTTGGGGTTAGTGCCAAATTTATCGGTTAAAAATTTAACTTGATTGGATTGTTAATTGGTATTTTACACGTAAAAACCTTTACGAAGTCCGGCCGCCCTACCTGACTAATTTAAGCCGATGTTTCTAACAATTACCCACATTAATGTTTTACCAAAAAAAAGCCAATGAAACTGAAAAACAATAAGGTTTTTATTGTTTGTGTTTTTTTCTTTTTTTTTTCAATAGATCTTCTAGGCAGATACGAGTCTATCTGATGATGATTGATTATCGTTGCTCATGCACGTTGGCAATGGCAGACACTCGGTCAACCGCTGACTACTCTCAAACCTATTTGAAAGTCGCTTAGGAAACACCGTGGAGAGAAGTCCAAAGTCGGATGATACGTGGCAGAAATGATCTCTGCAAACGCACTTTGGAATCACGCAAAGGTTTTAAATAGTACGGGTGAACTCTGCTCCAGTTTCAAGCAGCGCGTTGGTAGATGGAGGGATCGTTTCAAACAATTTCTCTGGGCACTTTTCGAATGCTAGTCAAGCTTTGTAAGTTTTTTTTGTATTTGCCTTTTGAATAATCGATACTTACGAAAATGTCTACAATCTGATAAAACCAAAGACGGCCTCACGTAATCCGTTAACCGACAGCCCGGATACAGTCCGGATATAGCCGGGTTCCTCAAAGAACCTTTTAAACGACACGTGACGGTTTCCGGCCGCGGATCCGGAATAATCCGGTTCGAAGGATTGCGTAGCTCAGCCGTGACGGTTCGCACATTGAGTCGGGAAGTTACGTGGAAAATGTAGTGAAAATGGATCGGACGTAATCGAAATGTATACGGGCAATTGCCCCGGTATAAGTTCGCGTGTAAATAATGAAGTCCTTGAATTCACTTATAATGAATGGCATTATTTATGTATAAGTTGTATTTGTTTGGGAAACGAACAGTAACATTTTCTTCTAAACAAAAACCAAACGTACGTGTGGATAAGGCAAAAAAATAATAACTGAAATATATGACTTGAAAATTGACAAAAAGATAAAGAAAGCAATAAAAAATTGATTACTTCAAATCGAATCTAAATCACGTTACAAATAAAGAGAGAAGATTGCCCTCTATATTATTTACACTAACGTCAAAGTTAGTATAAAGGATTTGAGAGTGAGAATCTTACGAAATTTATGCAGTTATTTTGATAAATTGTGATTTTTGTACGACTATTAAAATCATAACGAAGCTCCAGAAATTTCTAATTTAATAATGTAATATGGATTATATTTGTTAAAATCACATGTTAAGTGACATTCCAATTGTAATTGTAAGCGACAAGCTAAAATGTGAATGTGCTAAAAAAATTGTGAATTAGGAATTTAAGAAAACGAACATACGTACATACTAACAAATTAATTGTTGGATTACTTCAAAATCAGATTAATTTATAAACAGTAATTGAACTAGTAAGCTACGATAAGCCAACTATACCATATAATGAATATTTCCAATATGTGAATTTTTTATTTGGACGTTTACTTGAACTGTTCAGTGCATTCTCATATCAAAAATGGCGCGCGGATACGTACTTACAAAAAAAATGTTGGAAGTTAAATATTTAGTAACGGTCACAGCGAAATGTGTTAATTAAAACAAGACTTAAGTGGTAAGTTAAAACAATGCAGGGGTTAAAGAAGTGCAGGGGGGCTGGCAGGAACTGGATGAGAGAAGCCGAGGATCGTGCTCAGTGGCGAACAATTGGAGAGGCCTATGTCCAGCAGTGGACTGCTATAGGCTGACGATGATGATGATGAAGTTAAAGAGATACCTGGAGGCCATTCCTGTCCATAAACGAAGATCTCGGATCTGGCGATGTCGACCCGGTTCCAAGTGAGGGCTAAAGACAACTGTTCGCTCGGAGTTAGATGCTGAGCCCGGAAAAGCGCCGTCAGTATGACCTGATCAAGCTCTTGGACCTCTCCACCTTCTGCGCGCTCTTGAATCCTGAAGACCGTTATCTGCACAATAGAACACCATGATTAGTAAAGCTGAGCTTAAGATTACTACAATCTACTAAGCATCCGTTTCAGTTCGTCATCAGTATGACTGATTAATCTGAATTTTGCGGCTGCCGTTCTGAACAGTTGGTAGGTTTCTTTTTTTATCCTACCTAAGCTGAGAGCCTTGAGAGGCTATATCCGCGTAACCTTAACTAGTGGGTGAGCTCACGGGGCTCAAACCTGACGATGTTGCTAACGCGAACCCTAGCAAGAGCTGTGCTTCGCAGAATCTACCACCGGATCGGAAACGCGACCCACTGAGAAGATCCGGCGAAAAACTCAGTAGGCTGTGTGTGAGGGTTAATTTACTCGTCGAGCCCTTCGGTTCGACGAGAACGATGACCGGTGCTTGAGGTACCTAAAAGCACCGTTAGTGGATCGGGAGTAGGTTTCTATTTATTCGAGTTTTTTATATTTTATATTGTGTTAATATTATGTATGTTACGCCGGTAAGAGTAACGCCATCTATCGCCGAATAGTTGAACGAATATCGAAGGATCTAATAGCGCCTAGAACGCTCGAGAAGCACAACGCCATCTATTGTCAGATAGCGATATAAACACAATACTAGAAATGTGTGGAATGTTCTCGATAATACTAGAAATCGTTTATAAAAGCGTTGCAGAGATGGCACGCAGTCAGTTAGTAATCGGAACTACTCGAAGCGAAACAGCGAACGGATCACCTAAAGCGAAGCGGAAGAAGCGAATTGAGAGTTTTAAAGTGCTTGCTGCCTACCATAAAGCCAAGCCGCTGCCTACCGTAGCCAAGCCGCTACCTACCGTAGCCAAGCCGCTGCCTACCGTAGCCAAGCCGCTGCCTACCGTAGCCAAGCCACTGCCTACCGTAGCCAAGCCGCTGCCTACCGTAGCCAAGCCACTGCCTACCGTAGCCAAGCCGCTGCCTACCGTAGCCAAGCCGCTGCCTACCGTAGCCAAACCGCTGCCTACCGCTGTCCGCTATAAAGGAGCCAGCTAATTAAGGTGGCGCCACAGTAGCAAGTGGAAAGATTTTAAAAACAGTGCCGTAAATTATCACACTTGTCTCTGTTTAAAACTGGCTTATTCATATACAATCCACTTCCTACTCTAGCGCTATTTCGGTGAATCTTTCAACAATAACTTGCTGCTCACAGATGGACACTTTTTCCTAGAATGTGATAATTAGTATACTTAATATCAAAGTGTACGACGTTTTAGCCTTGTATAATGCGAAAGACGTGTTTCAATCGAGATTCGTGGCTTAAAACACTAGAGAATTGGTTTTGTGCGTGCGTATAAATTACACCTATGCCCTACATCGAAAATACTTCAAAAGATTTCGTTTACTGATTTCAAAGCTCATTGAGAGTGATGAGAGCTATAATATTGGGTATAAAGGCTCGGTTTTTTTTACAGAAAATTGTGATTTTGTTGAATGTTATAAGGATTTTGTGTTAGGCAGCAACTAGGCAGTGTCCTTATTTATTGATAGCCATGAACAGCAACGATTTAAAGTTTGGAGAGTGATTGGAGTCTGTTTTCAAAGGAATTTAAAAATTACCGAAATTCGATAAAGTTTAAAAGGTATAAATTAGGGATCCGGGATCCAAAGCATATACCAACAATTGGGGATTGGGGATCCAAAGTACCAAAGTATATACTAAATCTTTTTTTTCCCTTTGGATGAGCTCACAGCCCACCTGGTGTTAAGTGGTTACTGGAGCCCATAGACATCTACAACGTAAATGCGCCACCCACCTTGAGATACAAGTTCTAAGGTCTCAGTATAGTTATACCGGCTGCCCCACCCTTCAAACCGAAACGCATTTTACTGTTTTTTCGCGGCTTGCGTTGCATTTTTACCTTTTTTGTAGAATTTTTTTAAAATGTATCGAGTTTCTTCATTAGATTCACTCATTTTGACAGTACGTAAAATAAATAAAAATCACACATTTTCCTAATTTGAATTTAGACATATCTTCTTTAAAATTTAAACATTTAATGATACCAAAACCAGCCAGATACAAATAGTATAGCCAAAGAGATTTTATTACAAGTTCATACTGTATACTTTAATGCGAAAAGACTTTTTCCCCAACCTATTAGTATTCCTGTCTAATCAGATTCGGCCCGTTTCAACTTATGTTATGGAAACCGAGAATTAGTTTCACGACTTCGTAAATATTAAAAGTACCAATAAGGCAGACAATAAAGTCAAAAACTTGTTCTTCAGGCTTTAAATAAAATTAAAGTTCAGTTTCTTTGAAGCTCCCTCGAGTAAAGAGCTTGGAATATTTACTCCGTTTTGCTTCGTTCGTTCAATCGTAAATCTGATGTACATTTTGTTGGATTTAAAATTGTATTTTCTTTGACGTCTTTCTATTCTTCGTAATGAAAACTTTTATCCGATTGGTTCAAGGACTACTGCTTAGCTGATATTTGAAAGATCTCTCTCATATTTCAATTCGGAATTATAAATGTTAAGAATAAGAGAAATATGGTTATGTGGTCAAAAATACCCTGGGTATGCAAATAGACGGTAACGCGAGGAGGGAACGTCTTAAAAAGACTTGGATGTATTGGGTTTTCACCAGGAATATGACGTATAATAGGCTGAGTGGAAAAATTGGACATGCTGCGCCATTCAAATTTAAATACACGGACAAGGATACTGGCAGAAAGAAAAAGATGTTAAGAATTTTAAAAAAATATACTAAAATTTTATTTTTGATTTCATTAAAGGTCCCAAAATTTAGCCAGTGAAGGTCGATAATGAAACAGAGAAGAGTCGCTGATGCCCCGATTATCAACTTTAAAAAAAAACCCATATTGTGATCCTATTATAATGTTGTAGTGGTAGCCATCATGGAACACAACATATAAGACAGAGGCATATATCGCGCTAACGACATTTTCAATATAAGTTTGCTATGCTATATGATTACTGGTGGTAGGACCTCTTGTGAGTCCGCGCGGGTAGGTACCAACCTGCCTATTTCTGCCGTGAAGCAGTAATGCGTTTCGGTTTGAAGGGTGGGGCAGCCGTTGTAACAATTCTGAGATCTTAGAACTTATATCTCAAGGTGGGTAGCGCATTTACGTTGTAGATGTCTATGGGCTCCAGTAACCACTTAACACCGGATGGGCTGTGAGCTCGTCCACCTATCTAAGCAATAAACAAAAAAGCTGACACTGAAATGTACAGGAAAGCCGTTGTAACAATTCTGAGATCTTAGAACTTATATCTCAAGATATCTATTGGCTCCAGTAACTACTTAACACCAGGTGGGCTGTGAGCTCGTTCACTCACCTACCCACCCGCGCGGACTCACAAGAGGTCACCAGTAATTACGCAATTTACAATTTTGCGGGTTTGATTTTTATTACACGATGTTATCCCTTCACCGTGGATTATACAATTACATTACATTATATTTGCTTAGCTAGAAAATTTTACGTTTTATTCAACAATGAAAACAAATAACTTACGTACATTATTTGAACGAATTTAAAATAATCTAGATTACCATATTTTAATAAACGAATTTCATATAAAAGTCCTTTTCGAAATTACACACGTCCCAAATTACTTATAGCGTTTCTTGCAATTGTGAATGCTACAATAATTATTGTAATTTAAATTCCCCCTGAAGATACACTTCTGCGTCTGATAAGAGCGTTGGTGATAACGAGACGATTCAATTGAAGTTGCGAGCTCGTTAGTACTTAAATGAGTATGTAAAGTAAATAGTTCTGCTCTTGGCATTGCTGAAGTCCATGGGCAACGGTAACCGCTCACCATCAGGTGGGCCGTGTGCTCGTCTGCCTACAAGGGCAATAAAAAAAATACACTGGTCGTCTTATCCTTTGGGCCACGACGATTTCTAATTCATCATCAGGATCGACTGCTACTGAAGAAGTATTCATATTTACTACCTAACTATCTTCTTTACCAGTTACTATCTGACCACAAGGTACCACCGCCCTGCCTATTTCTGCCGTGAAGCAGTAATGCATTTCGGTTTGAAGGGTGGAGCAGCCGTTGTAACTATACTGAGATCTTAGAACTTATATCTCAAGATGGGTGGCGCATTTACGTTGTAGATGTCTATGGATTCCAGTAACCACTTAGCACCAGGTGGACTGCGTCATCGTCCATACATTAGCTCTCTTCCTTGGTGTTGCCTTGGTGCTACATTCCAAGTATCAGTTTTGTCATTAATATTGAAAATAAAAAAATAAAATAAAAAGTGATTCTTTTAAACTCATCTCCGAATACAATTCGTTTAAACCGAAAGGGCTTTCCTCATAAATTTCCGAGCTCTGCAATCAAGAGTGCCTTATGCCTTCGCGTCATAAATATCACGGTCCTCTTCTTGCCTCTCAAAGGGACCTTTTTCAGGTTGTGACATTTCAATTTGCACCGTCTTCGCCCTTATTTTCTAACCTTCCTTTGTTTTTGCTATACTTATTGTGATTTAACAGATATTGAAAATGTTTGATCTTAAAATATCTCTTTATTACATTTTGAAAATGTCCGTCGACTAACAATTCATTATAGAGGGTTAATGTCGATAACTGTCTATGTTATTGTTGTATTTACAACAAATTAATAACCCGTTAGAATTATAACCGCACCCACGAAACGTATTGTTTTAAATGTCTGATGAAATTCTGTACATGAACTCAATAAAAAGTGTTGGTGGGTGGAATATAGGAAAAGAGCTGAAGATCGGACTAAGTGGTGTAAATTGGGAGAGACCTATGTCCAATAGTCGACGACTATAAGCTGATGCTAATTATGATGTAAATATATTACTATGATAGTTACTGGTGGTAGGACATCTTGTGAATCCGCACGGGTACGCTCTACCACCCTGCCTATTTTTGCCGTGAAGCAGTAATGCGTTTCGGTTTGAAGGGTGGGGGAGCCGTAGTATAAACTAAAAAAAATATGATAGAAAGCGATTTGGCTCTGCTCCTGGCATTCTTGGCGTCCATGAGCCACGGTAACCGCTTACCATCAGGTGGACCGTAAGTTCGTTTTGCAAAGGCTGTAAAAAAAATCAAGAAAGAAATCGTCATTTTATTGGCATATGACCGTTGTATTATGAAATTTCAACGTCAAAGCATCCTTAAGCTTCTAGTAAATTTTTACTCCTTTATTCTAATTTGAACGCTTCGAAAGTACGTTAATATTCTATCAGGAAACAAATAATGCAGAGCGTATTAAAACAACTAAAATACCAACTGAAAAAAGGTCTGAAAATTATCACAATAAATTCGCGGGTCTGTGTGAAAACTGCGAGAAACTTGTAATAGCACTTTAGGAATTTTCTCCCTTTTATCACATGCACATTCTAGACTTTAACATCATCTTTATCGAGTTTTCTGGCTGCTGAAGGGCCCTTTCATCATATGTAAAGTACGCCCGAGTGACTCATGTCACAGAAAATAATGTCTGTTTTTCCAGAAGCGGTTCGAAAGTTTGTACAACTGATAGATAGGTTTTTAGTTGCGGGTCTTTCTTTTTGTACGCTCGTCGCGAAATGACGAAGCGATTAGTTTTAAGACGGTTATTGTATAATTATAAACACGACTATTGCCTACTTTTTATAAAGAGCCACCAATTTTCCCTCGATAAGGGTAGCTGAATTTGTTTATCATATTCAATTGCTATTCATTAAGTTTCCATTTAATGATCAATAAATAACAATGATCTTTGGCTCGATAATTTTAACTATTAATATTCCTTTATTTTCATTTTAGGCCGATAAGCACACGGCGTAACTGATGGGAAGTAGTCATCGTTGTTCATGGACATCATCAGTCGAAGTTGCATAACGTCCGTAGGAGATTACCCACCGCTACCCTACACGTGACCCCTGGGTGGTGCTAATAGTGCAACAACCTGGCAACCGAACTGTCCTCCTGAGGATCTCGCGGTTCCAACTACACTGCGTCAATTATAAAACCCTAATCACAAACTGTAAATTTCAATTATAACCACGCAGTGTAAACGAATGCCATACGATAAATAAATAATCAGTCCCCGAGGCACAGTCAAATCGCTGCCTATATTTATCGTAAGTATGTTGTAAATTGCAATGAATATCAGTATAATAATTATAAACATTTCTTTATAATGTGTATTGTGCATTGACTTCTAGTATTTAGAGTACAATAAGATAATTATTGGAATGTCAAGCGTTTGTTGATTTTTAGGCGTATTAGGGCAAAATATACTTTTATCTATACTAATATTACAAAGCTGAAGAGTTTGTTTGTTTGAACGCGCTAATCTCAGGAACTACTGGTCCGATTTTAAAAATTATTTCAGTGTTAAATAGCCCTTTTATTGAGGTCGGCTATAGGCTATATAACATCATGAGACACAAGTGGAGCACCAATAAAGAATGTTTCAAAATATTTTCACTTTCTACGTAAATGAATTGGGGGGTAACATTTAGCGTTATGCCAAAGTAACTATTCCACGCGGACGGAGTCGCGGGCAAAAGCTAGTGATACTATAAATCTATGTTTCTTTGTATCATTACACAATTTTCATATTCAATTTCTCATCTTTGTAAACTAAAGCCTATCAATCCTACCTTAAAAATAATAATACAAGTACAAAGGAATTGTTAAACAGTTGAAAATAAGTTAACTGTGACAAAGTGAGTTAGATTCTGGAAGATTCTGTTCAACCGTGAGTGAACCCTTTTCTTATGGTTTCGTCTTAACGAAAAGGACTACGTTTAATGGATTTCCGTTTTGTCCTTTCAACTAAAGAGATTTTGATCTTCCAGCCATAATATTTAGTCTTAGTCGACTATGATATGAATTATGTGGCTTTGAAGAAGATTTGTTATATGCGGCCGTCAGCGCAGAAATGGCCTAACCCACAATTTTTCATAATCATGCTTATAATTATGTTTAATGCAATTTATTATGTATCTATATATATATTATATAAATTAATTGCTGTTCGTTAGTCTCGCTAAAACTCGAGAACGGCTGGACCGATTTGGCTAATTTTGGTCTTAAATTACGTTTAAGATGGCGCATTTACGTTTTAGATGTCTATGGACTCCAGTAATCACTTAACACCAGGTGGGCTGCGAGCTCGTGCGAGCTGTGGAAGTCCAGAGAAGGTTTAAAAGGTAGATAAATATGAAAATGCTCGGAATTAAATAAAAATAACGATTTTGTTTTTCCTTTGATGTGTTCCCCGTCCGACGGATTCCTTTTGTTTGTTTTAAGTTTATTTTATACAAAAGTTTAGGTCTTTTATTTATCGATTGAGACACTACGAAGTCTGCCGGGTCAGCTAGTTTAAAATATAATAAATTTTGATGCAAAACCGGCCTATCCATATTTTCTTCACCAATAGATAACAGATGGCTTTGTAAACATTATTTATGCGCGTATTGTTTTTTTGCTTATTCAAATTCATGAAAACTTAAACCCCATTGTTCCATAATAACTACGGTAAGGCTTAGGCCAATTTTGCACTGACAGCCTCATATATGAGAGAAAGCGTTTTCTTCGATTCAATGAATCGGATGTATGTTGTGAGAAACAATAGTAAGAACTCGATTTCAAATGTCTGTTCTTGCGTATACCAGAGGTTTCCGGGCATTGCGCGATGTGAGCTCGAAATATATGGTAATATGAATCTAAAGTATCCGAGTTCAATTCCGTATTTTATTCGGTTTAATGCATTTTTCCTGTACTAAAAATGGTTCTTACTTCGCCATGGTCCATGCTATATGACACTGCTACACTCTCCGACCCGTTGCCCCGCAAACGTTGAAACAAGTGGAATAATAGGATTTACAACTTATATCTCAAGGTGGGTGTGGCGCATTTACGTTGTAGATGTCTATGGGCTCCAGTAACCACTTAACACCAGGTGGACTGTGAGCTCGTCCACCCATCTAAGCAATAAAAATAAAAATAACATTTCTTTGGTTTTCGCGAGGCTTAGACATAATAAAAACTACGTTTACGAATTAATCTCGCGTTTTTTTATTGTTATTATATCCGACGTGTCGATTGCTTTACAATTAACGTGGGTGTGTCCCCTTACCCACAGACACAGCCCACTGAGTTTCTCGCCGGATCTTCTCAGTGGGTCGCGTTTCCGATGCGGCGATAGATTCTGCGAAGCACTGTTCTTGTAAGGGCCAGTGTTAGCAACACTTGGTTTGAGCCCCGAAAGCTCACCTACACGTTAGGATTCCGCTGACGTAGCCTCTCAAGCCTATCATCAACTTAGATAAAAAAGTGTCCCCTAAGGAACTTACCAAATTCTTCTTCCTCGTGCACTGCAATAGTTCCGTGTACAAACACTCTGCTTGCTGCAGTCCGACTTCGAAGGTCTTCTGTATGGTGCCTATCAGGTAATCTCGCATTGACTCCAGTACTGTTTGTTCGCCGGTTTCCGATGCGTACCTATAACGAGAGTTGACATGAAAGAAGATTCGAGAATGTAAGTCTCATTTGACCGCTGCGTCTCATCCATATCATCATTCGTCCATAGTAGCGTTATCCTCACTAAATTTCCGGCCTGACTCCCTAATCCCTTAGTTCCTATAGTGCTTACCAATTCTATTACCTATCACAAGCATTTTGAATGCTGATAATAATTTGAGATAATAGTTCAAAGTTGGATAACGTGAAAGCGGTCACTGAACTAAAAAGGGATCTCTAGAGCGTCTTTTATTAGCGCTAAGAGTAATTTTAAGATAAAAAAAAAAAAACAGGATCAGCTTTTTTTGCTACTTATGGCAGACTAGCGTACGCCCCACTTTTTATGGAGAATGGTTACCGTCATTCGACGCCAAAAATGCCGACGACACTGCCAAGCTAAGGCAAGTTTTCTACCAAAAGTGATTATTGAAGTGAAACTTCTAATGCGACTTCCAACCATGTTGCGTTAAACGCTTAACGCTACCATAGAATAGAAACAGATAGAGCGAGAGTGAATGCGTGGCACTCGAACGCATGCGCGTAGTATATACCTGCTACAGGCCAGCGCGAGCGTTAGCAACGAGTAGCGTCCAATATTTTAATGAAGTACATATTTAAATATATAATATAAATGTTAAAGATGTTGCATCTCTTATACACAGCATTACATATAACAAGAGAAATCTGATTTAAGGATGAAAATGAAGAAAGCCACAATACTACACATCGAAAAAGAAGTTTCACTTCATTCACGTGCACCACGTTGCACGCGCACCGTTTTTTTTTTGTTAACCAGTATGTCACATCGAATAGTCCAGCTTCGAATTCCACTGGATTAAAAATGTCAAGTTTATTGAGTTTAACTTCATCTCAGCCTGTCCACTGTTGAACATGGGCCTCTCCGATGATGTCCAGTGCGGCCGGTCCGTTGCCACCTGCATCCAACCTAACCCAGAAATTTTCACCAGATCGTCGGTCCATTTGGTAGGTAGCTGCCCCACACTGCGTTTGCCAGTACGTGGTCCCCACTCTCGAGGATCTGAATCTAACTTTTTTATTTTTATTGCTTAGATGGGTGGACGAGCTCACAGGCCACCTGGTGTTAAATGGTTACTGGAGCCCATAGACATCTACAACGTAAATGCGCCACCCACCTTGAGATATAAGTTCTTAGGTCTCAAGTATAGTTACAACGGCTGCCCCATCAAACCGAAACGCATTACTGCTTCACGGCAGAAATAGACAGGGTGGTGGTACCTACCCGGGCGGACTCCCAAGAGGTCCTACCACTAGTAAATTAACTAGTACCAGTACTACTAGTAACTAGTAACCATTAGTAAGTTAACTTACTTATGAACAAAAGCGATGAGGTCCGCTGCCCGACCGCTTCCATCGCAGACCACCACCGGCACCGGAGGGTTATCAGTTACGTACTCCAGAACCGCTCTCACTGTGTTCGTTCCACCTTCGATGACCAGACACACGACGGGCGTCGACGAATGCGTGTCTGAAATTAGGTGTAGTCTCAGAAAATTGTACTGAAATGCTTTGAAGTTGTCGTGGCCTAAAGGATAAGTCGTCCGGTGCATTCGTATCTAGCGAAGCACCGGTGTTCGAATCCCGCAGGCGGGTACCAATTTTTCTAATGAAATACGTACTCAACAAATGTTTACGATTGACCTCCACGGTGTAGGAATAACATCGTGTAATAAAAATTAAGCCTGCAAAATTATAATTTGCGTAATTACTGGTGGTAGGACCTTTTGTGAGTCCGCGCGGGAAGGTATCACCACCCTGCCTATTTCTGCCGTGAAGCAGTAATGCATTTCGGTTTGAACGGTGGGGCAGCCGTTGTAACTATACTTGAGAACTTAGAATTTATATCTCAAGGTGAGTAGCGCATTTACGTTGTAGATGTCTATGGGCTCCAGTAACCACTTAACACCGGATGGGCTGTGAGCTCGTCCACCTATCTAAGCAATAAACAAAAAAGCTGACACTGAAATGTACAGAAAAATTATTATGATGAAAAATGAAAATTATCACGGGAAACAATAATATTGTAATAAAAATTTAATATTTCCTTCCCGGATTCAAACCAGAGTCCGCTGCCCGAACGGCGGCGTTCTTTAATTAACTTATAATTAAGACTAAGGGGAATTAACAAAAGAATTTTTTCGTAGTCTTACGAGTACTTTAATTAATTTGTGGAGGATTCCTTTTTAATTATTTTTTATTGCCCTTGTAGGCAGACGAGCATACGGCCCAGCTGATGGTGAGTGGTTACCGTCGCCCATGGACTTCAGCAATACCAGGGGCAGAGCCAAGCCGCTGCCTACCGCAAATTCTCTCTTCTCTCTCCTGATTCTCCGCGAGCATGCCTCGACAGTTTTCGGAAGCCGTAAGTTTTTTTTTTTGAGTTCTACATAAACTGATGCTATCAAATTTAAATTCAAAATCATTTATTTCAACTTAGATGTCAGTATGACACACTTGTTGAATGTCAAAATACAAATAACAATGTTAACTCTACCACCGGTTCCAAAAAAAAGCCACAGTCCTGAGAAGAACCGGCGAAACAAACTCAGCGGGCTTTTTTTTTTGTTTTTTCTCAAATATTTTTTTTTTTTAAATGAATAGAAATATTCACAATAAAAGAAAAAACAAGTCAAAAAATACAATTAAGAAAATAATAATAATAATAAAAAATGAAAAGGCCAGGAGCGAGCGGATGTCGGATTACCTTAGTTTGCTATGTTAGGCGAGGTTTGAAAAAAGTAAGAACCTAAGATCTCCAAGATAATATTATCTTAGTTACCTAAAGGGTTGGGTAGATGAGTTTCCAAGCTCTTTGAGCCTTAAGGATGTTCGGCGTCAAACCTAAAAACCAGCCTTTCCCAAAGTGGGCGATAATGACCTCTTGTGGGCGCTGCAGGCCTAAAGAGGGGTGTTAAAGAGACCCAGAAAAAAAAATGGGGGCCTTGTATAGAGACTTGGGAGGCGATTTGTAATTTCATCTAGGAGGACTCTTAAGCACCGACTGAGCTCACGCTATAGTGGTTTTTAAATATGTTAAAAAACGAGGGCGCTAAAAAATAATTTATTCTCAAAGTGGGCAGTGGACAAAATAAGTTTGGGAGCAAAATAAGTTACTCTAAACCTGTCTGCTGCTCGCATGACAATATCAGAAAAGAGCTTATCCATATCTTGATCTCTATAGCCAGCACTAAGGCCTTCGTATTCTATCTAGCACTGAGTAATGATTCCTTTGTTATGAAATCACTTCTGCTTCAAGCAGACACAGAAAAATACAAAATTTAAGTCAAAAGCCATTCCACAGCATAATCTGTCTGAAAAATTTTATTTGTATATTATTAACTAGTAGTCCTTGTAACATTCTACGCTATGGCTAATAATTAGTCATTGTATAAAATTATCCACGGGATTTAAAAAAAAAATAGATATTTAATATAAAACACGTTTTGGTAATTTTTGGAAAATGGTTCGGAATAATCGATGGAGTTGTTCTCAAGAGTTGCGCTGTCGTACAAGTGGCAATCGATTTGATAGATGTACAAAAACACTTCTGTTATAATCTCATAAACTGTATGAATCCATCATTCCCGAAGCCTATTGTTACTGGTGGTACGACATCTTGTGAGTCCGCACGGGTAGGTACCACCATCCCGCCTATTTCTGCAGTCGTTGAACTGTTAAAGCTGTGACCTTATAACTCATTTTTCATGGTTCCGGTAAGCTCCTAAGCTACCAGGTGGGCCGTGAGCTCGTCCACCCATCTAAGCTACAAAAAAATGGCTATGCTATTGGCTCAAAGTGAACGGTATGCAATTTAAAATTATTAAATGAAAACGACAAGTATTTAGTTTGACCTTTTAGTGAGCTAATGTGTCGTGAAACTGCTACGTAATGCAAAGTTGAGCTTCTATGCCCCCGCGAGACCATAGATATAAAAAACTCTAGAGTTACATACGGATTTACAATTACTAAACACGGTTTCATCACTATTGCTACTAAAGACATATTGGAACAATTGTTAAAAATTTATTATAATAGTAAATTACATTTATAAAGATAACACCAAATAAAATGTTGTTAATCTATCTATGTAACTGCTGCGAACGAAAATAGAGAGAAAGGAAAAATCGAAGGGAGGGGGCATACCGCTTCTTCCTTACACGAAGATTTCGACTAGCCAAAAAGATATATCAAACCATATCCTACGCCTAATAAGGCCATTACACAAGATAGCGAAGTCAACCGTTTTCTGATTATTTCGGGTCCCTTTCTATTCCTAACACGACTTTTCCGGCGCCCTGTGTTTAATGGGTTAATTAATTTCATTTGCCGCGGTATAAATGTCTGTTACGGCACGATTAGCTCCTTCGTTTATACAAAAAATATGAAAGCCAGACGCTTTTTAAATATTTGTATAGTATACGATCTTGTAGGGGTATTTTTTTTCTCTAGGGATACATAAGTATGAAAAATGGTTGGCAGATAAGGCGATTTCGTAAGGCAATTCAAATAAATCACTGCTTGTGACCTGGTTAAAACTAGATAATAATGAATAATGTTTAAGAGCACGATAGAGAATATGTTCGTAATTAAGTCTGTATGTACTTTGTGTATTTGAAATAAGGCCAAATATTGTGGTAACAGTTCTAGTGCGAAGTTTCTAAGTACCATAAATTAAGAACAAGGTTTCATGCATTAATACTCTTTGTTCATATTCTAGCTCAGTTGTATTAATAAATACTAGAGGTCCCGCAGTAGTCGAAATTCGACTATAATTAATTGGAATTGTAAGTTTCACAAATTTCGCCAAGACTACACAATAAAAAATAAATAACAAAGACAAACAATATTTAATCTACTCTCAATTTGACCACAGACGTCAAGAACAAAAGTTTGACAATAAATAGTATGCATGCGTGTGTGCGTCACAATACATGGTATGTAGTGTGTGTAATGTTTTCTTTATTGATTTAATGTATTTTTTATGCATTATTTTAAAAAAATATTTGTATTGTGCACTTCTTTTCTATATTCTCTATAAGTGTGGAAAATTTCATACTCCTCCGTCGGCGCAATTTTCGTAAAAAGGGATACAAAGTTTTTGCTTCACGTATTAATAATAATTTTACTTTTGAGTTGCTATCTTTCGCTAGCATATCTGTTCAGAGTCAGCTCACAAGACTTTTAATGGTCACTGTCACTATAGATATTGTGAATTGTAAAAGTACAGTGCGCTACATCGGCATATCGTAAACTTTTTTTTTCAGATGACGTTTTCAGATATATTATATATGTTACCGGAAATGTATGAAATCAAGGAATTGTATACAAATCCTAGGAAATGTGTACAATTCCGATACTATTTAGGAAATGTATAAAATATTGTTTGAAAAACTATTTAATGCATAGATATCCTAGGAAATGTATAAATTTCCTCGGAATTGTATATAATTCCAATATCGTATTAGGAAATGTATAAAGTAAATGCTTNAGCCAATCAGGCGCATAACGCATTTCGTGTGACATGCTAGTACGATTTTGATTGGCGCGCGCACGCATCACGCAATCAGGAGCCAATCAGGCGCATAACGCATTTCGTGTGACATGCTAGTACGATTTTGGTCCCCATAATTTTCATACCCCGGGCCTATATATGTAAATCGATTCTAAAGGAGTAAACTCCAAAAAAAAGTAGCCTATGTTCATCAGGGACAATGTCGGCTTCTAATGGAAAAAGAATTTTTCAAATCGGTCCAGTAGTTTCGGAGCCTATTCGAAACAAACAAATCTTTCCTCTTTATAATATTAGTATAGATATAGATTATAGTTTAATCTTTTTTGTTTCATAAAAGATCGGTTTAAATGTTTACCGGAGCCTTCACTTAGACGTGAAATGGAAGTCTCAAATCTATTGTATACTCGTTATTCTATTTTCCAAGCCGGAACGCCCGGCTGCTTCGCTGCAGAGATAATCTGGTTGGTAATACACGCTCCAGGGAAGTGGGCTTCCAATACGCTAAACTGGAAAATTTCGACTTTGGACCCAATCGATTTGTGTCAACAATTTAGATACTTTTCTTTTTTTAACGATAATCTATATATTAACACGTGAAACAAAAACTTTGTATCCCTTTTTACGAAAATTGCGCGGACGGAGGAGTATGAAATTTTCCACACTTATAGAGAATATAGAGAAGAAGTGCACAATGCAAATTTTTTTTTTAATAATGCATAAAAGATACATTAAATCAATAAAGAAAACATTACACACACTACATACCATGTATTTGACGCACACACGCACGCATACTATTTGTTTATTGTCAAACTTTTGTTCTTGACATCTGTGGTCAAATTGAGAATAGATTAAATATTAATTGTCTTTATTAATATTTTTTTATAGTATAGCTTTGGCGAAATTTGTGATTATAGAAGTATAAATTACAATCATAATAGTGTACAAACTTACAA